CACAGTCCTTTTTATAGTCTGTTCAGTGTTCTACAGCAACAGAACATTGTGCCCTGCCAGATATGATGTCATTTTTAAATCCCCCTTCCACAGCTTCACCAGCGTTCTGGTTCAGACTGAGATATATACATAGCAGATTTGGATCTTGTTGACATGGCAGAACAGATTGCTCTGTCAGAGGCATAACTGGGGCAAAATGTAAATTAACACTGTTGCTGTTTGTTGTTTTTGCCTCATTTAGCAGTGCGGTAACAGTCATTTGTTTAGGTAGATGTGTGTGTGAGTCAAACGAACCAAGGAATGTTGTAGGATGAATTTTTGTATAAATATTCTTCTGAAGGTTTGTACCATGGCTAGGGATTCGTTTGACTCACACACAGACTACAAGCCACAGTTCTGATCCATATTCTGTGTGGGGAAAAAATCAATATGGCTGTCCAAAACTTATCTTTCCTAGTAATTCTCTGTCCCTCCATGTGTGCTCCATGCTCGTGTTCCTGTAGTGTGACCCGATCCTTTCATGCAAGCTAGCTAGCTAGGTTCCCTATTCACATAGCTACTTTTAGTAGCTTTCAAATATGAATTCCACTCAGATACTGTACGCATCCCTAACCATAGCAGAACTCCCCTTCTTGTTCTGAAAAATACATTTAGATAGAGTGCACAAAATCAGAAATGATAAATGACTTTGTGTACTTATATTTACATTTACTCATTTGGCAGACGCTTTCATCTAAAGCGACTTTCACATGGTGACAGGTGTTAAAGTGATCTAGAGGATGTAGATGTAACACTGGTGATTTCAGGTTAGTCCTAGCCGTGTTCCCACCTAAGGAACTATCCTCCGGAACTAGGAACCTTTGGAGGAACTCAGTGCGTTTCCACCGAAGGGACCAGGGTATAAATTTAGTTCTAGGGTCTTTATTTTACCCCCCAAAAAGTCACTGCTTGGGGGGTTAGTGGTTTCCAAAAGTAGAGGTACTTTGGGGGGTGGGGCTTGCCTTGCAGTGAATTTGAGAATGAGCGAGTAGAGGCTACTGGCTTTAAGTCGAGCATGTCAGCTGTTTTTCTACGACTGCTCCTCTCTCTTCCACCATTCTATGCTAACCAATAAATCACAATCAACAGTCAGATAGCCTCTGATTTTTTCTGGCCCTCCCTCCAAAAGTTATTTATCAGTTTTAGAACACAACTAAAGACTTATAAGTTATGTTATAGCCTACTGTTAACATGTTTAATCGGTTATTAAATACATCCTGGATATAAAAAATTTAAACTAAAATGCAATCACAGTTTAAAATTATGAAAAATAAAAACATTAACAGAACAATTTACTTTTAAAACAAAACATACTAACCGGCTCAAATATGACGTGCTCTCTCTTTCTGACAGCCATTTAATAAACTACACAGAGCAGCGGATACAAGTCGCCTCTATCCTGATTGACAGGTTGCCATGGTAGCGACCTGTCTATTTCCCCCTAAATGGGACCATAATTTACTCAATGAATATCATGTTGTGTTGAAGAATACTTGAAACTAGCGACTGAGACTATAAACTTGGAAAAGAAAGGACGGAGGTGACTGGAGGAGCTGAGGTTAGTAAAGCTAATTAGTGATGTAAACTAGTCCTTTTAAGCTAACGAGGAGACGTTTCTTTTTGGATTTTAATGTGCAAATAAAATGCAGCTCAGAAGGGAGGAGGTTTCTCATGTTGCCTATTTTTTATATAAATGTCTACAGATAAATGTCAGAAGCTGTAAAATGAAGACACAAAAGGCAAACAGTCGTATCTATAATGATTCTGAGGTCATATTAACAGGGTTTTTCTGCCGTTAAGGCTTAGGGGTGACGCCCAAAACATGCGGTTCCATCACTGTAAAATCACTGTGGAGCAACAGAACCAACCAAATTACTTTCTCCAGATCTAAAGGTTGGAGTTCCTCCAGCAGACTGATCTTTGGGTGTTGTTTATTTATCTGCTCTGGCTTTTCCAACTATTTGTTCAGAGATATGGTGAAAATAATGGCCCAAGATGATGTGAAATTACTTTTTTTTTTTCCTTGGGGGAGCACCCCCAAATCCCCCGACCAACACCAAAACATTCATCTAAAGCTCACATTAAACTGGGAAAACACTGCAGTTTGAAGCTATTCTAAGGTGCATCGCATGCTCATGGACACAAGAGCAATGTTGCTGAGATATGGTGTGTTTTTATTATCAGACATAAATTTGGCTTCACCTCCGCTGCACAACTCCATCCTTGGGGAAACACTGAAGTTTACTTGTTTTGTGAAGTGTGACTATTTTTCCGGGGGGTGGGGCAGTCAGGCAGACACAGACGTGAGTCCTGCAGCTGATCAGCAGCTCTTGTCAGCTGGAAATGTTTTAATAACCTTCCAAACTGTCACAATTTTATTTTTGTGTTGCTTTCTCTGCGCTGGAGTTATTTTAAGAACTTTGTGGCTTTATCCAGTTTGTTGTTAAATTTGTAACGATCTTTATCGTGTGTCTCTTCATTATACTCCCACACAAAAAAAGCTGCTTTAATGGTCAAGCAAAGCCTATAGATTTTCATTATATTCTAATCAAATCTGATGTTCATTTATACATTTTGCTCATGGATAGTGGTTACTAAATAATGTTGCCTGTGCATCGCTTTGTACGGCGTACAGGCCCACAGCCTACGGAGACCACAGTGGAAACGCACACAACAGTGGGCTGAAGGAACCTTTTAGTTCCTTGAAAAGAGATCTGGGGACTTTAAAGTCCCTGTTACTTTTGGTGGAAACGCTGCTAGAATGTCCTAGAAAGTTTGAGTCTCACTGTTTGGTGGGCGTTGTTCTCTGCCCCCAGGTAGTGATGAATCAAAATGAGTGTAATACCAGATGGCAGAGTTTCATCTGTAAATATTCGTTCAGATTTTGTAGAAGCATTATCCTTGTAACAGAATGGACTTTTCTTTTTGTGTAAAACAGAAGGGAGAGTGAGGAATCAAACACAACAACTGAGCAGGCAGGCCCTCAAAAATCCACGGCGCAGAACTTGTCTCATCTTTTGGCAGTAACTCGCAGTGCCAGCCAGGTGCTTCATCTGTTTTTCATGCAAATGTGCAGTGCACCCTGACATAGAGGCAATCTGCACAGGATAATTTGTGAATTTTTGTCGTAGCGAGACAAAGCAGCACATCCAGTTAATTGATAAATGGAATCCGTACAGACACAGTTTGTGTTCCTGTGCTGTTTTTTCAGTGAATGTGTGTGAGGGGGAGACAGATGCTTTCATCTATAATAAATGCAGGTCACTTTACAAGCCTGGAGAACATTTCCCCGAAATGTTCCCGCATAAGTGGGCTCCTGGCTGACATCATCACACGTTGCACGCATGCTGTGTGTGTGTGTGTGTGTAAAGTGTTTCCTTCTGTTAATGCTATCAGTGCCTCTGTCTAAGACTCTGTTCTCACAGACCAGGGCTAAATCTGAAAAAATGCCATTTACATGTGAAAACAACGTGGGTCCACGGAACTTTTTGTGAACCGACAATCCCACATTCCACTTCACACAGTACTTGGCCAGGTGTGTGGAAGTCAGAAAGTAAGCTGGGTTTGAACTTCTCTCTCAAAGCTCTGACTATTTGTAACGTAAATCTGAATAACTGAGGGCAACACGATGACTGTCTGAAATTTAGAACAGCATTTAGTCTCACTCCTCTCAGTGACGACATATTTTTCACTCTGCCTTCCAGTGTGGCCATTTGGAACAGGTTGAAACACGTTTGATTTCCAACGCGGACACCGTTACAACATACCCCGGCCCTTAGGCTGTGTCCAGACAGACATTTGCTGCTTTCATTTCAATAAGGCCGCTGCGTTGACTCAGCAGGAGTTCTGACACAAAGGGCTCAATAGCAAAACGCAGGTTTATCTGTCAAAAAATTCTAACATAGATCAACTTTTGCCATCATCTGGAAAGGCCAGTCAGTTTGCCAGTCAAATTTGTGCAAGCGCATGAATTTTATTTCATCATCTGAGTGATTCTTGAAACAGCACAGCCCCTTGTGTTTCTGATGAGTCTCAGCTGGCTAAGCCTCCGCTCTCTGATCATCTCCACTATGTTTTAATACAGCTGAGCTCAGGAATTATATGTTCTTATCTTATCAGACAACTGAATGAGCATAAAATCATGACTCGATAAACATAAATACAGACGAAAAACAGAAGGAAAAAGATTCCTTTCCATATTTTGCCGTTTGGAAATTGGATATGACCTTACCGTGAACTGCTTGCTGCTGCTTTCTCAGCTAGATGATGTATTTCATTTCCTGCCCTTATACATCCACTGTCTCGCTTTCACTCTTTTGCTTACTGTCTCACACACATGCTCTCTAAAGTGTCTCCAGGCCAAGTTGGACGGAAAAGACAGTGAAAAGCAATTTGGGAGTTTGGGGGTCCTGTCCGCTTGGTGTTGGTACTTTGCGGTTGTTGCTGCCAGACCTGACCCTACGTAACTGATGGTATCAGCGTGTTGGCAGTCTTTGGAGAAGCGGTTGTTTAGCAGAAAGGGGACTGGTTTTAATAATGTGTTGCTGAGGGAATGTGGTAGCTGAGGTTAGTCTGAGAGTCTGGCGGGTTTATAATCAAGCTCTTCCCGCTCTTTCTCTCCGTCTCTTTTACACACGCGTACAATGCTTATTATCACCAGTCCTCCTCTTACGTATGCAGCAAGACAGCTGCCAGCTCATGTCCACGTCGGTCCCAGTGCCTAGTTGAGTTTATTTCAGACATGCGCTCACAGCTTGACGCTGGTTCCAGATCTGCAAACCCTCTGACAAATGTTCCCCGGATTTTCCGAAAGATATTCCAACATGTTCCCCTCGCTGCTCCCCACCCCCACCACATCTTATTCTTTTTGTGTGTGCATGTGTGTTTTTATAGACAAGAGGTCACCAGTAGTCAACTCTTTTTTTTCTTTCCCTCCCCCTGGCTGCTCCAGTTATCTACAGCCCATCCTGTTGTTCGCAGACGTACTGCGGCTCAGTCTCTATGTTTGCCTTTCTCTTCTCCTGCTGAGAAAGAACTCTTTTAGTTTTGAAGTCTCACTGCGAGTTCAGGGGAGGCAGAGGTGGGTCTGCGTTTAGGCTCTGGAAGACATAAAGCAGAGGGAAGACGGAGCGAGACCAATTCTGGACGGACCCTTGCTTGGATTCTTCAAGCACCACATCAGAGAGATGAGGGTTATTCAAAGACCCATGAAGAGGAAATGGTAACATAGAGAAGAGGATCGGTGCCTTCTGAGGAGTGAACTAGCTCTCAGAGTAATGAGCAATGTGTGAACTTGTTAACTAGGCCTATTATTTTTGACCTTAATTTAAACTGAGGATTAGCCATCTCATCAGAGCTCTTGGTGTAAAGCCAGGGCTTGTTTTGCCTTGAGCTCGAAAGGAGGATTGGGAAGGAAACTAGCTGCTCATTCGCTCAGAGAAAGCTTTTGCATATTTCCTTTGGCAAGGAAATTGAAGCGATTAAAAAGCAAATTTATTTGGACGAACTTCAAGAAAAGAAAAACAACCTGCATTTACATTGGTTGCTGGAATGGATTTGGATCAGTTCTATAGCTCAACCCAGGAGCATGCAGTTTATCTACCTGGATTCAGCTCATCAAAGGATCCAAGAATTTACTGATAATCTCTGTCTTCTCGGGCAATGGAGCTTCGTAAGAGAGTGAAGCGGAGGGAGCTCAAACATAATTCGGGCCTTTCACAAGATGCACCAGCTGAAGGGAGATGCAGCAGTGACATGCTGTGGGGGATAGAAAGGTCTAAGGCCGCACAAGAGTTCTGTACAAGAGAAGTTTCTCTGCCTGGGGGATCCGGTACTTGTTCCGGTTCAGGCATTTCACCCCTGTGGCCTTGGCGACAGTGCGTTTCCATGGCAGCAGGGCTGGTATTGGCTGGGCTGCTGGCGTTGACTCAGGCCTGGTGTGTCAACGGCATACACGAGAATCTGCTGTGGTTCTCTCAGCTCACGGTAGGAGTAGGAGATGATACTGGTTTGATTTTAACCTTTAATTAACCAAGCACATTGTGGACAAGCTCTCTCACAATAACAGCCTGCAGAGTTCCGAGGGTTCACTGGTGAAAAACAATTTTCAGGGGTCCAATCTCACTTCACAGTAGGAGTTAATTTGGTAACAATCTCTTATTTTTCTCCACTGCTATCTTCCATTGTTGTCCTTGTTGTTGTGTGCAGTCCCAGTATCTTCTTCATTGTGCTTGGTCAGTCAATCAGAGCCGCAATGTATGGAATATACAATCACATAGTTTTATTTCTCTTGTTGTTTTTTTTTTTTACTTAAAAAGCATCCTGCTCTGCGTCCGGTAGTGACAAAATGGACAATTGTTTTTTATGTTTCAAAAAGGTATTGTCATTTTGAAAATACCTTAAGAAGTATGGTTTTAGGGGGTTAACATATTTACACACTAGTATGCTCACATCCAGGCACCGGCCAGTACCACAGCCCAGCAGAAGGGAGTTATAGGGTAACTCGATAAATTACGTTACAGTGACCACAGTAATGGTCATATCATGATACAGGCAGTAATACAATAAGCAAAACGTTGCAAGGTAGTTATATATATAACAAAACAAGATTCTTGTAGCTGAAATTATATTTCTTTTTTTTTATAAAATGGGAACTAATCATAAACCATATCTAGAATAAACCGTGTTTATACATTTCTTAACTTTTTCAGAACTATAAGCATATTTACCTGAAACGATGGATAACACACAGCACGTGTCATCATCGACAAATCAGTTAGTCAGTGACTCGTGATCTTAGTTGTCCAGTAATTGCAGGGTTGGTGGTTCAATCTCCAGCTTCTTCTTGCCCCGCCTCCATGTCACAGTGTCCTTGGGCAAGATACTGATCCCCAAATTTCTACTGATGGCCAGCCCAGGGCCATCGATGTGTGAGTGTGTGTTAAAGGGTGAGTGAGAGGCAAAAAGCACTTTGTTTGCTCAGTTAGAAATTGCTATATTAAGTGCAGCCCATTTAACATTTACTGTGTCATTTTAACAGGCAACAAACCGAACTGTTGGAAATCTGAACAGTTGCGGAGTTAAGAGATTTACTTATGTGTGTTAATAATGTATTCAGAGAGCCTGAGAATAAAGGTGGCGCTATGCTGCGAGTTTACTGAGGTCATAAAACTAGAAGACTGGAATATACAAAATGAGCCATAGACAAAATCTAATAAAATGATGACCAAACAATACACGGCGGTCGAAAACTATAAACTCCCTGGAGGTCAAAAAACACAAGTGAGACGTTCACACTCTCTTGAAGGGACTGCAAAACACAGCTGTGTCAGAGGTTCCTTTAGACTACATTAATGAATTAGACTACTAAGTCTATTTCATAAATGTTTATCTAGGCTGTATTTCATAATATTAGGCGTATTGGCCTATGTGGTATATCTGGCACAATAATTGCAAGCCATAGGGTAAGGCTGCAGGTGGTTTGAAAAAATAAAAAGGCTATCCACTGCAGTATCAGTTTTTTATGATCATGTAACCAAAAGTTACCAATCTACATAACCTTGCTATATTGGCTAATGAAAGTGAATGCACGTGAAGTCATTTTTTCAACAATAGGGGGCGCTACATAAAACACTTTTAGGAAAAGTCAAAGACTGGGGGACTTGAAAAAGTTATTGAAAGAAAGTTACATGCAATCAAAAAAACAGCTGATTACAACTATGTATGTAAACTGACTAATGTCTCTCTCCGTGTTATGAACCAGTGCTTCTCTACTGTGCTGTACAGCTACCTGCTGGGTTTCACTCAATCAGCGGAAAGTTTAAACCAGGTGAACGAAATGAATTAGCTGGTGCACCTGTGTTGGTCTGGGACATGACTGAGAACCACTGGCCTGTAGTCACTTGTAGTTGCCTGGTGTCCTGCATTGTTTTAATCCTGCTGTCAGGTAACTACATATTGGGGACGTTGATCTGCGGGATACGAGGGACTGGTTGCTTTGCCAGGCTGATTGAATTCAGTCATCAGTTCCACACTGTAGGGGTGGGGCTACAGGCTTCAAAGGGACATTTTATGGAAGATGCCGATAATATGGAACATTTTATATACAAAGTCTATTTGACATGTTGGATTTTTGTATTTTTCCACATAATAGCTCAAGTTGTAACACAAGTGGAAATCTATACGGTATCATCATAAAATATTCTTTGTTTTTTAATAAGCATATTTCGAGATACGTCGGAATAACTGCATTCCACTGCAGCAGGACAATAACACTGGAGAAGCAATTTGACAAACATTTCTTTTTAGTCATGCCCAGCTTTAAAAACTATTCACTAACTAAATGTTATTGATGATTGATGATTGACTTTATATTCAGCAGCTGGTGATTCACTGTGTGCTCTCAGTTTTTACCCCCCAGTGGAAAAGTAATCATGCACGGCGAGCAGGAAATCTCTTTGGAAGACATCCCTCAAGCATACGCACACACACACACACACACACACACACACACACACAGTGTTACCTGTCTTATTGTTATTGTTGAGGATTATGAGTGTATTAGCTGCTTTGCCGCTATCCTCCACATTTCCTTCATGTCTTGCCAGAATGTCTGTTTTCCATATTATCAAGAACAGAAGTGATGCAACTAAATTCCCCGTTTTGCTTTCAGGAAGTGGAGCGGGAGATCTCTTTTCGGACAGAGTGTGGACTCTATTACTCCTACTACAAGCAAATGTTGCAGGCCCCATCCATACAGGAAGGTATACATTGTGTTTATGCTGATTTCATTAATATATATATATGTGTGTGTGTGTGTGTGTGTGTGTGTATATATATATATATATATACACACACACAGACACACACATAGATATCAGTAGTCCATCTATGTCATCCTTGATTTTATGACTATAGTTGAGTCTTTGCTGAACCACTCACCAAAGCAGCGATAACTAGGCATGGCAATCCTGTCGAGTTTTGGTTTTCCACATGCTGAAGCAATGTGCACAGGGCTTTACAGGGAGATACATTGTATCTAAAGAGCGGGTGGTGCCTTTTTTTTTAGCTTTAACAAAACCAAAAACACAAGAACAAAAGCATAAGGAACGTAAACATGTGTTTGATGTAACATCTGATGTGACGTAAGCTGTAAATGTTACTTTTTTGACATGTTTTAACACGGATAGAGACACCAGATGGCTGTCTTTACCTATTCTTACAAGGAGAAGGAAACATTTTCCAGACCAAACAAATCACTACAGTTTCTCATGACGCACAGTCTGGTCTGAGGGAAATTAGTCTAATTATTTTGTTCCCATTATCATTACAATTTCTAGTTGGAAATGGGCTGACCTCCCTTTTTTGTCTCACTGTGTGTTCACTTCTTTTCCTGTCAGCAGCATGTCTTGATATGCAGAAGCTACAGTAGGTTAAGGGTTGGAAGGAAGGATGGAGTGATGGCATAATGGGAGAAATGAGATGGGAAATTAAATGAGTTGGGAAGAAGCAAGGATGGAAAGAGGCGTGAATGGAGAAAAGGCAGAACGGAGACAGAAGCGGGGGTGAGTGGAAAGGACAGAAGGGAAGGAGGAAAGAAAAGGTATAATGCAAAAATGACTGGAAGAGATAATGATGGATGAATGAAATGGAGTGGGTTGTTTGTGTGGGTGGTAATGTGTACTTCGTTTATGGAAAAGTTTGCTGTTTTGTTTGGTTCTACATGGATCAAGAACACAACAGTGATCAGGCTGACACATCTCTGCCTGCAGCAGAAACTCAGCTATCTGCTGCTAGTTTGGTGTCTCACTTTCTTTCAGTCAGATGAAATACATAGCAATGATACTGCACCCAGTGCCCAATTTGGAATAATGACACCAATGTGTGGTTGAGCTCATAAAAAGTTAAGACTCAATTTGTGGATGGCATAAGAATGCCATTACTGAATGATAATTCTGGTTTACTAAAATATATGTCTTTTTTTTTGTTTTTTTTGCAATCCGCATTAGTGATCTCGCTGCATTCGAGAGCACTGAGAGGCAAAAAGCACGACCGGTCTGATGTTCAGATAGGTTGTAAACAAAACCCCAGTTTAACCAAACTTATTTGGAAAAGAAATCAAAGGCGAATGCTAAAATAACCATCACAAATTCTAACCATCACAGTTTACAGACTGACTTCCTCCTGAGTTCAGTTTGGTAAAATAATCTGGAACAAATGTTGACTTGTGCACAACCCGTTTGTCTGACTGCTCATATTCCTTTCTCTGTTCCACTATGATGTACCAGTGTTGTTCCTAGATATCAGCAATTACTTTGGTGAGAATGTTATCACAACTGATAAGAAATAATGTCCATCACAAACAAGACCCAAGTTGCAATAAACATAATTAGCCTCTAAACGTTTTTTTGGCCACTTGTGGGTAGCGGAGACAAGCAGTGAACACAACGCTGATGTATTTATCAGCTTTTAATTTGATGTGGTTAACTTGTTAGCAACCAGCTGCTTATTGACACATCCAGCAGATATGGAGCAATTAGCATTCATTTAGAGTTGTGTTTGTGGCGACTTGGTAAACAGTATTTCCTTTCCTTTCAGCTTTGTTGTGCTCCCCACCATAACCTGAGAAAAAAATATCTGTCTCTTTAGCTGCCAAGTCCTCTACTGTGTTCACCACCTAGTCACTAACTTTGTCTGTCTGCTGTTTGATGCTGGGCAGGTAATATGCAGTAGGTTTTTAGAGCTTGTTTTTGCTATACAGCTGCCTGCTAGAGCTTAAAACAAAGCTGATGAGAGTGGGACACAACCATCAAACCAAAACAACAAGCTGAAAGATGCTAAAACAAACTAAGGGGAGCTGCAGAGTCTGGTGATCACCATAGACTGTATATAAAATGGTGATAACCCTCTGAGTTTGTTACTGTAAGCGACACCTGTCACATATAAGTAGTCTGTGGTGATCTATTGTTAAAGACGTCATATTATGCTTTTTGGCTTTTCTTTATTGTGTAAAATATCTTTTTTGTGCATGTAATAGGTTTGCGAATTGAAGTCCACCCCGAAGGGCGTTACAATCTCCTACAGAAAACCCTGCTCTTGAACTGCCTGAAAACAGCTTCCAGCCTTTACTTCTGTCACTTTGTAACGCGTCATAATGCTCACCTAGCGGCTAGTCAGGCAAAAGAGTGGTTACTTTTTAAAATTCTGCAAAGGAAGTGATGTTTGAGGGCTTCCAAGGTTGAATGCACTGATTCGTTCAGACATCCATTGTACTTTCAGCAATTAAGGAATTCAATTGAAGCAGAACAGTCTGTGGTTTTACGAGCTGATAGAAATTTTAAACACTGTTATTGTTCTTTAATAGCAGCATTCTCTGTAAATGAGCAGAGGTGAGCTTTGAGAAACCTCCCTGGTTGTCACAAAACCAACAATAATTATCAGTCTATCTGTGAATAAAGGGTGCCATTTTTAAAGTGTGTGTATGTGTGTGTCTGCCCCCCTCCTAGGGCTCTCAGATTTGATCCATGACAACTTGACAGAATCCAAGAGGACCATTAATCTCCTACAGCGAATGAATATCTACCAAGAGGTCTTTCTCAGTGTTCTCTACAGATTGTTGCCCATACAGGTAACACATCACTCAGCTGTCAGCTTTTTACTATCGGCTCGTAAAACAACAACAGCTTAGAGTAATGACTGCCACTGTTACAAAATGATGGACTGTCTTTGTGACTTTTGCTGTCATTGTGGCTTCATGAAATGAAGAATTCTCGTTATGTGAAAAATGTATGAAATAATATCACACCCCAGTATTTTGAAAAATATAGATTTTGTCCTTTGTCATGTTATTAACTAAGTTACTGTTACTGTTGAGGGGCATGTTAGGAGACTGGCAGGCATTTGAGGCGCTGTGGCATTTTACATTTTGGTCTTTTTAGCTGACATAGCATGGCACACTTGTAGTTGTCACACTGGAGGAAAAGGTTTCTGTGTTGGCATATCAATTAACTGGGAAACCGCTAGTTAGCTTCCTCAGCGATCTCATTGTGACAGGAATGCCAGGAAGTGAAATATCAGACCAAACTCTGAAAATGCCACTGTGTTCCTGAGTGCTCGAGTCATTCGCTGTCACTGTAGTCAACTCTCTGCGTGTTCTTTTACACCGCCTAATGAGCTAATGGTTTCTGTGTGTGTGTGTGTGTGTGTGTGTGTGTGTTTGTCTAGTTGTATCTGGAGCCAGTGTATTTCTACATTTACACAGTGTTCTCGCTCCAAGCGGTGTATGTGATCGCTCTGTACCTCACAGCATGGCTCCTGTCTGGTTCCTGGCTGGCTGGTACACTCACTGGGATCTGGTACATCCTCAACAGGTGGGTAATGTGCACTCGTGTGGCCGTGAGACACCGAAAGGGGGAGATTGTAGACATGCGCACTTGACTTTGTAAATGTTATGGCAGTTTTACATTTTAGCATAAGAAGGAGGTTTCGAGATGAATCCTCACAGAAGTTTGACAAACAACACATTGTTTGAAACCAGCAAGCCTCACACATATACATTCAGCATGATTGTTAAACCTCAAGGATGCCCACAATGTGTTTTGATGATTAATGCTGACTAAAAACAGAAACTTCAAGTCACAATTAAAAATGGTTTGAAAATACATTCACACATGTTCATCATTCTTGCAGTCCTCTTGGTGGATTCATTAGTAGTTTAGTTTAGCCAGTGTTGCTATTTTGAGTGAACAATATTAGATAGATCGAAGTCACAATTTAAATACTGCGCTATTGGTCAAGCCTCCCGTGGAGGATGGCAAGCACCACAACAACTGCAATGTTCATACTTTACACTTCAGTGCATGTTAAATGAATAAATTCATGCTTCAAAAGTTCCACAACCGTAACGAGCTCTCTAACGGTTCAAGGACAGACCGCCATGGGCTGTTCGCGACCTGACTTCAAACTTGGAAGCTGTAAGTGTTGCCGTGTTGCCGTGTTGTTTTACTGTTTATTTTAAATATTAGCTAACTTTAAAAAAATAAATAAAAATTTTAAATATTAGCTAACTTGGCGTTAGCATATTGCGCGGCTAGCACGCTTGGCGATGTTGGACTCACGTTGTGATCCTGAGGGACAGTCGAGAGAAACTGAATGGTAAGCCTAATTTGATGCTCACTAACTATGGAGCGTAGTGTGTCTGATGCCTGCAGCTGTTTTTCATGTTGCTTTCTGTGGATATTTAGTTATTACGTTACTACAGCGCAGTGCCCGCACCGCTGTGTGTGTGTGTGTGTGCTGTGGTATGTACACGCCAAGGCTGTCCCCTGAGTCCGACCCTTTTCGGATTATTTATCGAAACTTTGGCCCAAGCAGTTTGAGAGGAACATAAGACCTGTATGTTTACAGATGATGATCTGCTTTTTATTACAAGCCCAGACTCAAGCATCCCTAAATTTATGTCCCTGCTATATAAAAATAATTCATATTCTGGATATAAGCTAAATATTCTAAAAATGCAAACCCTCACATTTAACTATACACCCCACCCAAATATAAAAGGGAAATATAAATTCCAGTGGGACTCGCCCAAAATAAAATATTTAGGAAATAAACCTTACTAAAGATATGTCAAAACCTTTTGCACACAACTACGGCCTTATTAATAAAATAATCAAATCTGACATATCTAGATGCAGCCTCCTCCCACTAGATATGAGTAATAGAACAGAAATAATTAAAATGAAAGGGTTGCCACGGCTCCTTTATCTCTTCCAGTCATTGCCTCTAGAGGTTTCCCAAAAACAATTTGTTGAGTGGAACGCCTGGATCTCAAGGTTCATTTGGAAAAATAGAAGACCTAGGATTCAGTTCAAGACACTACAGCTGAGAAAAGAGAGGGGAGGAAGAGCTTTACCATGTTTACAGGACTATTTCTATGCTGCGCAATTGAAACCCTTAATGGTGTGATTCAAATTATTAATCCAAGTGGAAAAGCCTGGAAATTACACCGATAAAAATTCCAGTAAAATCTATAATAGGAAATAAAAGCCAAGCTGAAAGACAATATAACAGCTTGAATCAATGGATTTCATTAACTCTTAAGCTATGGTTTAAGGTCTTGAGGAAGTTACACGTAGTGAAACAGGCCAGGGTCCTGAATTGGATAGCATACGATCCAGAATTTGAACCTGTTAGATTGGACGGGGGCTTTGAACTATGGGTTAGGAGAGGCAGCGGCGTCATTAGCCCTAAGCCCCGGATCTCAGAAGGATTTAAAAAAAAACAAACAACAAAAGGCCGAAAATTGAACTTTACAGGCTTACGTGCGCGGGAGCGAGCAAGCGAGAGAGATTATTGTCATTATTTATTCTCCTGCAAATTAGCGGAGAATAAGATGATCCAGCTGTAGCTCTGTGTCTGTCCTCTCTGCTCCACCTAAAGCGGCTGTGAGCTGCACTTTATCAGAGGCGCTGAAATTAACTTTGTTAATTTTTTTTTTGTGGTGAGGTTAATCACCTGATAGGCAGAGGAGGCATTATACATATTTCATTTCAAAATCTATGTGTGGTTCCCCCTTCTTTCCTAATGTAAAGTTTTATTTCGGAGCTGGCTCATGTAGGAGGCGGTTTACCAGCCAATCACTCACACACTCCACATCAGTCATGGACAAAATGTAGCCGATAGAAATGTTGAGGGAGGGAAAAATAGTTGCTCGAGGCAACTTGCATCAGTATTACAGACTTTTCTTTTGTGCTGCTGTTACTTCTAGCTGAAGGCAGCAGTGATGGTGTCTGCAGCAGGGATGGGTACATCTAATGTAGGCCTACAGTTCCGCAGTAAAGTGGTCGGGCGCTTGTCTCAGTCACAGAGCTGGGCAGATGCAAACATTTAGAAAATCAGACAAATATCTTTTCAGTTTAAGGCTTTATGTTCTACTAACACAACTGAAATCTAGTGAGAGCACATGATGGCACTGGTGGCCTGTTGGAAAGCAGCATGTGTCGCTCTTTCACAAGCCAGCAAGTGAAACACTTTTACTTTCTATTAACGGCGCATTAAAAGCGTCTTTAGTCTCTGCAGAGCAAATGAAGCCTACACACTGTAAGATCTATGTCAGACGATCACTGCATTGATTGAGATATATTAAAAGTGTCCTGTTGTTGACTTTGGACATTAGCCTGTTTCTTTTCTTTAATACACATCGGTTCCTATTTGTTTTATAGCGATGTCCGAGGGTAAGTCCAAACAGACTCGTCTGTGAAACTAATCTTTCACTCAGGAGCTACCAGCTGTTATTTATTTTTGAGATGCACAGAGAGAGAGAGAGAGAGAGAGTATATGGTGGATAAAATAGTTCTGTTGGGTTTTACGCATGACGCACAGCTCTCTCTATATGCAGGTTTACCTGCTTCAACAACGAGCTACTCCTGTGTTACTGCCACAATAATTGTTTGCGTTGTGAAGATTATTTAAATGCTTCAGGAATAATCAGATTTTATTGGCAGCCTGTGCTACTGCAAAGAGCTTTGATTGGCTACATCTCCATAATAAAAGGCACAGGTAACAAAAGTTGGCTGGGCAGCATTAGTGACATTTTAAAGTGATTCTATCAACACCTTCATGGAGATTTAAAAAGGAAAATAATTAGAAATAGAATTGTAGAAACAGTCCAGGAGTTTATAACTGAATTAAAATGATATAATTTATTATTGATGAGGTAAAAAGGTGTCACATGCACATGTAAAGAGGTTACCTCAATCAGTCACGCCTGTGTGTGTGTTGATTCAGCAGTGATGATATTAAAAGTTGATCTACAGGAGAAACAACTCAGAAGCTGCAGCTGTTCTGCATTATGTTCTGTTACAGTTTAAGATTTTAAATTGTTTTATTATATCTTTATTAAACCAGAAAAACTCTTTTTCCAAGAGTGTCTTGGCCAAGGCAGGCAGTAGTACAATTGCACATTTAAGATAATAAAAATACAAAAAATCAATTACAAGGTCATAAAATATCAACATGTTCTTAAATATTCACCACAATTCAGCAACAAGGACGATCAACTGAGTAATCAGTCATAACATCTGAAGGCAGAATTGCCAGCCTTCTTTTTGTTTCCTCACCTCAAACAGACAATTTCAGAGTTATGAGTTAATTTCAGACACATTTGGACTGGAAAAGCAGGACTTCCACAGATACCAGCAAGTCAGAGACTATTATAATAAATAATAGCACAAAAAAGACAATAAAAAGTTGGTCTCAAGAATATACGGAAGTATACAAGCCTCTAAAAATAATTCTACGTTATCCATTAAACAAAAATGGGAGAGAAAATCAGACACAAATATCAGAAGAGACCTGGTTGGAAATATGTGAGACACAAGTGACCACTGCAAACGCAAGATCTCTGTGAGAGTTCGGCTGGAAGAATATGGTGAGATTACAGGCACACAGAGCCGAGGCTTCTGTTGGAGACAGTGTGGAACTTCTATGGCGAATCACATTCATGTTTTTTGGACCTGCCCGAAAATCCAGTCATTCTGGAGAGAGGTGGATACCAAGATAAATAAAATAATTGGGATGGATATAGATTTCTCTTTTGTTACTTTGGTAAAATGCCGGGAACAGTCCAACAGAAGGATAAATACTTATTGAAGATATTGATAAGTTGTAGGAAAGCTATAACAACACTGGACCAGTGGCATGGGGTTATCCAAGAAATCAACTGTATGGAGAGACTTGCCTTTGGATTGAGGCTTCAAGAGCACTGAACACTGGGAAAAATGGATTGTGTATGCACCTTAAGTAATATGACATTATTCCATGATGTATGTGTAAACGAATACTTTGATTTTAACTTTGATTTTAACAACGCCCATGATGACCGCATGTTCTTTGTACATGTAAATAAATAAATAGAAAGTTTAAAAAAAAAGATCTATGTTAACTTTTAAGGACACTGAGACCATTTTACACGCCTTCATCTCATCACGCCTGGATTACTGCAACAGCCCTTTTATTTGCCTAACCCAAAAATCTACTGGTCGACTCCAGACTGTCCAGAAGTCAACTGCCAGGATTTTAACCATAATAAATATAATCATTCCTGTTTTCGCTTTATCACACAAGCTCCCAGTATGTTTTAGAAAAGACTTTTATTTTAAATTTTATTGATTACTTATAAAGCTCTTCATGCACGTACCTTGAGATCCTTGGGCAGAGGTCTGTTGTCTCGACTGAAAACTAAAGGGGACAGAGCATTTGCAGTAAGGGCCCCGAGGCTCTGGAACAGCCTCCCCGAGGAAATCAGGGCGGCTGAGTCAGTGAACTTTTTTAAGTCCCTTCTTAAAACATATTCCTTTCCTGATTTTAGTTGATTTTATTTATCTTTTAACTTCATTTTCAAGTTTTTTCCTGCTTTTAACGTGTATGTTATAAAGTGCTCTATAAATAGAGATTATTATTTTATTAATAATTTATTATTATTAATTTTAGTTTAAAACAATCAAAACATTTTTACTATATTGGTCAGTAGAATGTGAAGTAGCAGCTCTGACATCATGTCAAAGATGCATTGTGTTGCAGAGATATCTACTGAAGTTAGCATGCTAACCAGCTAGCTCCGGCCCGTCCTGTGTTATAATACCACTTGTGCCTTGAGATGCAAGAGTGAGTTACTGTTGTGTCCAGTTTGCTCTCAGTCCAACATGAGAAGACTACTAAGTAGAGCTTGGGCTTGTCAATCAATACTGCTGCACGTGCTGCTCTCCCTCACGCTCCTCCACCTCTCGATCCTCTGGTGCCTCAGCTTTTGTGTCTCCTGCCAACACTTGAACTTCACTCTTTCTGACTGGCTGTGAAATTGTTGTTGTCTGGGGGACACACGGGAGGGGAAAGAGCCCCAAAGTGCTGTCCAATTGCATTTAGCGCTCATGTTAACCAAATGGGCTGTTCAGACCGAGCGAGCCTGTGTGGGTACAGCCGCAAGCAAATCTGGCAGGAAAACACGCTCATAATCTAGTATAAACTATATAAATTCTAAATATTATATAGGGTGTAAATTATCTGATTCTGATACATGATGAAGGATGCTCACCAATCCTTTTGATTTCTCTGTCCCTCTCACCGTTGTTCTCCTGGCGTTTCAATTCCCTAAAAATAAAATATCAAAATCTGCCCATCAGCTATAATTATTAGAAATGCTATCACTGCTATTTGTTACTGTGCTTTTTTAAATTACATACTTATTCCACACATTTGTCTGGTGTTGGATAAGCTCAAATGTCACATGTGATTAGAAAAGGGCAGAGGAGCAGAATCACTTAGAGAGTAGTCCGGCTCAGGGGTAGGAGGAGGTGAAATGCTGCCTCCTTTTTGTTTGGAGCATGTGGCCAGGATTGGAATTACATATTGTACCTTTAAGACTGCAGTGCAACAAACGTCATATTGAACCAGCGTTACGAATGTAACTACGGTTCTATGAATTCTGGATGACTGCCAGACGGCGGTGCTTTAGCATCGGATGTCTCCATCTCGCATTTGCACATGTCGAGTAATTATACCAACAAAGTCACCTGTGACCATGCGATGACGTACGGCGCCAGTATAAAACCCTCACGTCATCACACAATATCTTCCTACAGAATCTTCTCGCCCAGATTCCGAGTGACAGACAGCTCTGCCGTTCATCCAGAATTCATAGAACCGTAGTTACTCTCGTTCTATTTCATTCTTCATGACCGCCAGACGGCGGTGCTTTAGCACTGGATGACTTATACCAGCAAGTTCACGAGGAATGCTCACCGTGCTAAGGAGTGGAAGCAGTTGACAGGACGGCTGCTGCTACTGCGTGGGGAGGAGCCTCATTTACCCTGTAATAGCGAGTGAAGGTACATGAAGACTCCCAGCTTGCGGCAATACAGATGCAGAGAGACCCCTCTCAAGGCCACCCAGGATGTGGACACACTCCCGAGTAGAGTGTCACTTAACCTTACTAGATGCTGGCAGGCCGTGCGACCCATAAGCATGCAGAATGACATCCACAATCCAATTGGAAAGTCTCTGCTTGATAGAGCGTCACCCTTTCTACAACCCCCATAGCAAACAAAAAGGTTGTCAGACTTGCGTACCTTGGCAGTGGCCTCCACATAAGCCTTTAAGGCCCAAACAGGACACAGTAGCTATGACAACTCGTCCGCCCCTTCAGACGAGACCCATCTGGGTACCAACGCAGGCACCTCGGGCTCACTGATAGGGCATGCAGTTCTCCTACTCGCTTTGCTGATGTGACAGCAGGCAGAAATGCTGTCTTAGCAGACAACCACCTCAACTCTGTCTGTCCTAGCGGTTCAAATGGGGGCAGACTCAAGGATCTCAGAACCACCTTCAAATCCCATGGTGGCACTATAGTGACACCTGATGGTCTAAGCTTCAAGCCTTCAAGAACTGACTAACCAGATAGTGTGACCCCACTGTGCAATTGTCCACTGTCACGTGCCCCGCTGAAAAGGCAGCTGCATACACTTTCAGTATCGAGGTGCACATGCCAACATCTAACAACAACTGCAGGAAACACAGAATGCTGGTTACCGAGCAGTTCTCCGGTACCTCACCCTTTTCCCTGCACCACTGGGATAAAAAAGCTTCCACCGATTAGCGTACAGTGACTGAGTGGAGGGAGCCCTCAAACTTAACACAGTGCGGATCACTGACTGGTCACAAGATGCCAGGAGTGGGTCCTGGCTTCCAACGGCCAGACACACAGCTGAAGGCGGTCCGGATTCGGATGCCATATGCGTCTCTCCAGCTGAGAGAGAAGGTCCGGTCTCTTTGGGAGGTGCCATGGCTCCCCACTGAGCAACCTTAGAAGCACTGGGAACCATGTCCTCCCCAGCCAATTGGGGGCTACTTGCAGCCGTTTGTGGCCTCCCTGTCGGACCCTCTCCAGTGTCACCTGAATGAGTGGAATTGGAGGAAAGGCATACAGAAAGCACGCCGGCCACGCATGAGCTAAGGAGTCCTGCCCTAAAGGACCGGTCCTCTCGCTTAGAGAGTACCAGAGGGGACAATGCGCTGATGTTTCTGAGGCAAAGATATCCACTTCTGCCTTGCCATATTGGCCCCAAATCATTTCCTCCACCTCAGAAAGTGGGGAAACGCCCACGTCAAGAGCTGCTGAGATCTTGACGTCATGGCCATCCAGGCATGCAGGCGTTACAGACATGCGAGCTCAACATGTCACTTAGTTAAGCTGACCTTACAAAATACACTGATAGAAGGGTAGCGCACAAAAGTAATACACAGCCACAGTATGCTGCTAGCAAGTTCGAGCTGAACAAAAATGCCAGTCGGCCCCACTGCTGTCCTTCAGACAACTACTGACACTAGTAGTAGCAGTGTACTCCAGCACTGCCTAAGAAAGTAACTTAACACCGCTTCTACCCCAGTAACTTAACAGAATTTACCGATGTTATATCCCCCCGAGAGCAGAGAGTTTACAAGGCAACGGATCATGCAACGCAGCAAAGAAGCGGAAACACCACAGTTTTAAGCTACTGCGTGAACATCAAAAATGAGCAATAAACTGGGCGAGCCACAAGCCCTCAACACAATTAACATTAAGGCTGGACGGGCAAATGTAACGTTAGCCTACTTATCTGTCTAGTAGTAACTTATTCAACACAATTCCGAGTGTGAAAAGTTTGCAACCGAAACCCCCCCCCCAGCTGATCGCAGCCTCTGGTGGACGTGAACACAAAGCATCAACCCTCAGGTTACAAGGCTAAAAGCGATGAGCCGAATTGACCTGTGTTGTTTCCTCAGTGCGAGAAGATTGAAGGAACAGATTGTGTGATGACGTGAGGGTTTTATACTGGGGATTTGATGTGTTGCCCCCCCCCCCCCCCCCCTTTGTTTACAATTAGCAGCTTGGACACTGTGTGAATGAGGCAGCTTAGTGTCACACTCAGTAAATGATGGATCTTAGTGACGTTGTCTCATGCAGTGTGAACAGGGTTATGTGGAAAATAACACCACCCACAGTTAAACAGCAGTGCAGTTTTTTCCCTTGTAAATCTATTTAACGGTTGTTTTGCCCCATCGACACACAGACCTCAGGATGTTGCAAACAGACAAAAAGTCAATGTAGTAGTCGGTTTAGCCCTTATGAGTTGTGAGTTAGATGTTTTGATATTGATTTTATCATCGTTTTAAAAATTGATTTCCACCATCAACCTGTCTCTCCATCCTCCCCTCAATCCCTCTTTCCCTCCTATCAGGGTAGATACCACTCGTGTGGAGTTCAGCATTTCCCTCAGAGAGAACTGGTCTTTGCCCTTCCTAGCGCTGCAGGTGACCGCTATCACCTGTTACCTCAGACCTCAGCTCACCGCCTTACAGCAGGTACACACAAACCCACACTAAATCAAAGCTATTGACCATCCTCACCATATAGATAGGCTTTGACGTGGCACACCCAACCCATCTGTTCGATAATCTACCATCTCTAAAAAAGCTAGCAGCACAGTAGGAATGAGTATACAGTACATGCCAACAGAACCCATTCAGTTGAAGTATCTAACCCCAGTGTCTTTGCGTGTGTGTTTCCTTCCTCAGAAGGTGATGGTGTGGTTGATGTATGTGACCACATTCTGTTTCTGCCTGACGTGGCAGTTTAACCAGTTCATCCTACTTGTTCAGGCTCTCATCATATACACCCTGGACTGTCTTGACATCTTAACAACAACACAGGTATGGCTACAGGGAGGACCAGATACGTTTTTCTAGCTTCTGGGTTTATTTTCTGAGGCAGTTATTCTAAAACGCTTCATGGTTTAAAAATACAAAGGGTTATTAACTGACCTTATTTTGCAGTTTTCACCCAAATTATCCTCAAGCCTCTGAGTGGGTGTTTTTTTTCTAGATGTGCTATGTGCTACTGACTGTAAAATGTCACTGTATATTCTACGAATGTTGAAACACAATGTTTTTAACCTTTTTTTACGTTTACTTTCAACTAGTAAACATAGTGTTAGTCAACATGTTTAAACCATCTCTCTTTACAACATACACTTTATCTGGAAAGACCCATTGTACTGTTAAGATTGTATTCCACTTGAAAAGTGAGAGCTAGTTAGCCTAGTTTGCTTCATTAGCACTGATTCCCACCAGATGTTACTTTACATTCCTGTTATTTCTACACCCGCTGACTCATTGGCAGCTCCTGCAACACTCCAACATAGTATTATCCAAACATAGAGTTCCAGCTACTCTTAGCTGTCTTTCTTTTTTGGGTCCAGTTGTGGTGTCGGCTATGTCCAGCCTATCAAAACTTACAGAAACAAGTAGCTTTGGTCTTGTAACCTCAATGTCTCTTGTGACTTCTTATTTGAAAAAGAGTTGTTTGTATTTTTGCCACAGTTGGCAGGTATTTAGACACTTCTGGATGTGGTATGGATATGGTTCCCTTGCTGGTGTCTGCAGTCATGTGACATGGAGAATACTGGCTGGTGTCAAACAACTAATGGCTTTGCCTACATTTTAAACAAATACACCACCTTTTTAGAGTATTTCAGGGCCACATGTGATAAGTGGTCAATGTCAAAACAAAAGTGTTCACTGGTATATTCCTGTAATGGCTGACATCACACATTACCTACCCAGACTGCTCCACAGCACTATGTGTGTGTTTCTCTAGGTGACCACTCTCTACCTTGTTCAAGTGAGTGGTCTGCTGAGTGTGTGGCTCCTCCAGTTCTGTAACTCCATGATACTGGGCTCACTGGTTCTGAGCTTCATCGTAGCCGCACTCTTCATCAGACACTGCCAGGTCAGTGTGTGTGTGTGTGTGTGTGTGTGTGTGTGGATACAGATAATAAAATTGACAGTCTGAGATCAGAAAAGACAGGACTTAGAGGAACATAGAGAAATAATATCACACTGTTAGTGTATTAAAGTCACACCAGGCAGGTTTGGTAGCTGGTTTAAAAAACACAGATGGAAGATTAACCTTCATTTCGGTTGACACGTAGAGGCCTGAGCTGTAGTCAGTTTTTGAAGAAGATAATTCCAATTTGTATGCCGGAGACATATTTTCCTGTCAGGTCTAAATATAATTTAGTTAAATCACATCTTATCATAGTAAAAATTACAGAAACATTTAATGTGACAGGATGACAGAAGAATGGAGTGAAATATGGAGGAAGGATGAGAATCAGAAATGGGAAAGAGAGATTTCATGTCTGGCTGTACAGTAACTACGTGGTGTAATTATGAAATGTTTTATTAAAAATGGGCACATATAATCCATTCTAATACGTTTAGAGGAGTCAGGCTGCAATTTTGAATCTGTGAAAGAGTGCATCATATCAACTCTTAATTTTTCTGACAACAGATTGAACTCTGAATCAATCCGACAGCAACTAATCACATTGCACAAGCAAGAGGGAGAGTTGCTTTTAGCATATATGATGATAATATTACAGAGTACAGTCTAGACCTGCTCTATATGAGCTTCTGTTATGAATAGGTGCTATATAAATAAAACTTAATTGAATATCAAACGCCAACCTTTTCACTAGAATAACATACCAAGGTACATGATCATGTTGCTTTTAATTGTTAAGTTATAAAACACATTTTAAAAAGCGTTTGTTATTTCTATAAATTGACTAAACTAACTGGCATTACATTTTGTCAAGCGTGCATAATGAATCGAAACACAAAGTATAGGAGTTGGACTTTACTTGGAGATTGACTCTGAGCTTCATAGCACAGACATGAGGCTTACTTGTGACTTGCAAAACGATGGCTTAGTCCCACCTCTGGGTTTAAATATATAAAGTGGCATATTTGTTTGTCAACTATGTATTTTATTACATGATAAAATGTGGCACTGTCTGCCGTGGCAGACAGTGTTGGCATTTAAGATATAAATTAATATAGAGATGCATGGACCTAACACAGGCTGGGTGCAGGTGAAACTGTATGGGTCTGCTTATATTACATTTCTAAATGTAAAATTGCATTAAATGATATAAAAGATGTATTATCAAATCTCTTGTTGCTGTCTGCTCACGCAGACTGGTCTGAAGACAGGAAGCCTGCTGGTTCGTCTGGGCAAACTGGTACTCCACAGCGCCATGGTTCTGCTCCTCACCTTCACCATCAACTACCTGGCCAAGGTGCCTTCCTCCCTTCCTTGTTTCTTCCTTCCTCATTCTCACGTCTCCTTATCCTCTCCTTCCCTTTTCTGCTTTTCTTGTATCTCCTTGTGTGTTCATTTCACTCTTTCCCTCCTTTCCTATCCCCAGCCCCTTATCTCTCCATGTCTCCTGGCATCTCTGCTCTGCTCTCTTATTTTCTTTTTGTTCTCTGCTCCTCTCTTTCCTGTGTTACTGCTGCTTCACCCCCACTTGTCTCTCCTCTTTTTCTCTACATTCTCCCACCTCCCTCTACTGTAGCCGTTCTCTCCTCCTCCTCCTCCTCATGTATCTAAAATTCTTAGGTATGATGTGAGGTCACCATATGATCTCAGCTTTACTCTATACATCTCAGCTTGCTGATCCTTAGCGTTGACCAGATGACCTTTATCTGCGTGTGTGTGTGTGTGTGTGTGTGTGTTTCCAGAAAGCACTTCAGCTCAGATCAGATGAACACATCTTTAAATTCATCAAGTCAAAGTTTGCCTTGGGGCCGACGAGGTATGAACACACACGTTGATGCATACATACACACTCAAACATAGACGGACATGCTTCTGTTCTTGGACACATTCATGCACCACGCTTAGAAAATCTGATTTGACACTAGAGCGTGCTCATACACAAAGTCTACAGTCTGTACCCAGAAACACCTCTTGACTTGATCCAGTGTGACTGTATTATTCACTAGACACCAGTATTGTAGCACCTGGTGTGTTAGTGTGTGTGAATAATAGATGGCGGGGTTAATGCCAGCAGGCCTCCCATCGATCAGATACTTTGTGTGTGTTGAGCAGCTCAGCCACTGGATAGCTGCTCCGGGGTGGCAGATAACATAACTCTCAACCCAACGCCACACAACTGGCCCTTCAATTATTCAGGAGGCTGTGGAAAGTGCAATGCTTATTCTACGCTCTATCTCTGCCTCTCCCTCTGTTCCTTTTTCTCTCACTTGCTAAGACTTATTTTCTTTTATACCTTGAATGTTGTACGGTGTTTTGTGATGTCTCAATTCTCCGTTCAATTACTTATCAGCACGACTGTTTATCAGAAGCATTATTACCGACAGAATGTGCAAATTGTGAACTGTAAAAAAAACAGCACTAGTTTATGCTGTACAATACCATATTGAGGTAATTAATTCAGTTTATTTTGAAAAAAGTTTGCTATATAGTACACACGCTCTCTGCCTGACAGAAAATGTCGGTTTTGCGTCTCTTTTTTTCAGTTCATGAAGTTTTTTTATTGCTGTGTCCAGTTTGTATTAGTTGGAAGCACCCAGTTCCTCTTTATACATGGAGAACTAACATATCTTAATTTTATTTTGGATGATTGAATAAAGGCTGGATTTAATTTCATAGCTGTCTTATAAATAATCTGGAGGTATTGTTGGAGCAACAAGTCCTCAGGCCAAACCTGCAGTCAGCTGGATCATGACGACGACTTCTTTGGGTGAATCTAGAACCACTTGGCGAACTGAGCTTTCTCGGTCAAAATAGGAATTATTGCTTCAGTCGACAGCATTTACCATCAACACTGACTGGACATCCACATAAAATGTGCCAGATTTTCCCATTAAGTATAATTTTGAGGTATTTGCACTTAGATCGAATTTTTCCATCAGCTACTTTCTACTTCAACCCCACTACCTTTCAAATACTAATATTTTATTGCATTAATATTTAACATTTACTCCACTACATTTATTTGAAATACATACTGTAGTTAATGGTTACTGAAAGAAAAAAAAAAACATATGATAAGCTCATAAAATGCAACACCGGGTTAAAGAGTAAACCTGTGGCTCCAGACCTTTTTGGCTCTTCATCCCTTAAACAACGCCTCTTTTTCAGGCCCCCATCTCCCCACTTGAATTGTATATGAATTTAAATAACTGTTTCGATGAGGTAAAATTATTTAATACTTTAAAATATGCTAATAGAAAACAAATGTATGTAGCAGAACCTAGTTTGTTCTGCTTTGTGGACCATTTATCATCTCACAACCTTTCAGATTTCTCTTGTGATTAGCTCCTCCTCCACCAGCTGTAACAGTAAATTTCTCTTTACACATTGATGCATCAGTAGTAATAATGTAACATAATGATATAACACTCACAAGGGCAATATGAACTTAAGGAAAAAAGTACATTTGGTATACTTTAAATCATTTGAAAGCAGGACCTTTCATTGTTTCACTCATAAAGGAAGTTAATGGATCTGAATACTTATTCCACTGTGGACTAATCTGAAGATACAAAAGGCTTTATTTCATAGAGGTATGATGACAGATGTTGATTTAGTAGTGATTTTAAATGAGAAAATGCAGATTATTGAGAAGCTCAATTAACTTTTTTTGTGTGCACCACTTGAACCATAAAACATGGCATTTCACTATGAGATTATGATTTGAATTCTAAAATGTATTTGCATTAGAAGATAACAGTAGACTGTATATGTGTAGATTTACACTTTTGTCTTTTGGCGATTAGATTTTGGCAGGGTTTCATTTCATAGTAGAATATTCATGAGGTATTGTGGCTGGAAAGAATTCTCAATTATGAAGAATCCATGCAGAGAACAAACATGCAGTTTATTTAGACTAGGTTTATATTCAACACCACAACAACAGCTGCATGTACTTCCAAAACGAAGAATCTCACTAATCATGCATACACATACAGTCTAATTGTATGCACTCATAATAACTAATTGTGGAGCATAATGTTGATCACAACAACACTAATAACATTTCAGGAATACAAATAAAATGAAACTACCTTCCATTTGTCTGTTTCCCTAGTGCATGTTAAAATACTAAAATACCGACCTCATATAAGTGCCATATTGCACATCATATTAGTGCTAATCATGCTTTTCACTTTGTACTCATGTTGCCTTTATTTCAACATAAAAGTGCGCTGTTAGCCAAAATACATTCTTGTGGGATTAACAAATCAGTTCCCAAACTGCGTTTAAAGAACCAAATACGTTGGAAGAGAATTAACACGATCATGTTAGCCTAAAAACAACGTGTTAGCCTGGATTAGTTTTGAGAATTTGAGAATTTGGTCCTGGGTAGGTGGCATGAGTGCAACCCACGCACACTTAGGCTTCATCAACAAAATATCCAACAGATGGTCCTCTACACACTGATTGATGACTGAGTGATCACCACAGCAATGAGTGTTATTCGCCAAAGACTGAGGAACAAAACAAAAATATATATTTAATCAACAGTTTCAACTGCTAATGAGTTCACGCCATCCTACCTGTGTCATCTTTGTTTGTTTTATTTCATCTTTCCCTTTTTCTTGTCCTGTTCCTTCATTTCTTCATCTCGCTGTTTTCATTTGTTTCACCGCTCCTGCAGGGATTTTGATGCCAATCTGTATCTGTGCGAGGAGGCCTTCGGTCTGCTTCCCATCGACACACTGGAGCGCCTGGCTGGTACTCTGCTACTATACCCCTGCATCCTCACACTGCTACTGCTCAGCGGCATGTTGGCAGTGGCCGCACTGCAGAATCTGAGGTAGGTAATAGCTGAGCAGGGAGAGAATGAGGAAACAGGGGAGGGGGAGATGGAATCTTTCCTGTCACATGAAAGTAGCATTTGGCAGCTCTGTGGAGGAGGTAATATACTTATATATTACCGAGTCAGACTGTTCAAAGTATAATTTACACCTTTTTTCTTACTCTTACTTTCATTCTATTGATGTTCATTATCAAGTGGCAGGTATCTTATTAAGCTTGCTGCATCTGGAAATGGCGCTCTCACAAGCACCAGCTCCAGATGCAACAAGCTTCTGTTTTCAGTGAAGAAACTCAGATAATTGTACACCACCTGCTCAGCGCCCAATCAGCTGACAGACACGATAGTGACTAGCTGGTGAACATGTTTGGAGTATTTACAGCTAAAGAGACAGATATTTCCCTCAGGGCTGGGTGGAGACCAAAATAGAGCTAAAAAGAGAGTGAACATTAGTCTTACATTCATCAGATGGACAGAAACAGGTCTTCAAATGAATGCTAATGTTCCGTTACATGTGCTGAATGTCTAAATAAGCAAGTATATGCTAACATGTTTGTTGTATAAACTTAAAAGGTGTTGTGTTTACATCTTTTTTCTTCTGCTCCCAAGTGGCCAAAAGAATTCAGTTAATGAAAGCTTAACGTAATCTACTGTTGAACTTGTTATGCTGATACTTTATCATTTCCCTTTTAATCATATTTTACACAGTGACCAGTATTGCTGTTGCTTTTTCAGAAAATCTATTTTGAATGAATGAGAACTAACATTCAATTTGTTCATATTCATTCGAACATAACCCTCGTAGACTGATAATGTGAAGCTTAGCTTCACTTTGTAAGTATGCATTACCAGCAAAGTTGAAGGAAGCACAGAAGATTCAAACGTTACTTTCAAGAATCAAACACTCTTGAAAATCATGTCCATAACAAATATCTAGTTCTGTACATGTAACTGTTTATAGTTCAGAAATGACTAACTGCATAAAAAGTGATAGCTCAGGTTAGCAGCCAGTATTTAGTCTTTAATCTTCAACCTTGGCACGGATGAAAAAGTGTGTGTCCCTATTAGGGCAAGTTGGTCAGAGGAGGTAGTGGAGTGTAAATGAATGGGAGTTTCAGCCCTTGCAGAGAGTAAAGGGAGTTTCAGTGCAGAAGAGGAAATCACGATGGCTATCAGGAGTGGCAAATGAAGCTTTGCATTTGCCTGTGGTGGAAGGTGAGAGGCCGCATTGAACTAATCACATTAGCATATCAGCTCGCCTGCTGCTGTTGGAGGGCTGGAATACTAACCTCCTAGAACAAAGGGCTACTTGCCAATTCAGGAATTAATTTAATCCAGTTTACCCCACCTCATGAGGAAGGAAGAGCCAGATTGGATTTGTATTCAAATGGAAGCTAGTGTCCATCTGATTCGGTGCGAGAGGCCAAATCGTGGGAGTGACGACAGTGCCCTCGGGCCTTTCTGTGGCTTGTGTGCGTGCTGACTCCCGCAGACAGAAACGGTCGTGGGTGTGCATCATTATGTGTCCGCTTGTTCGCAAACAGTTAATGAAATCTGAATAAGAGCGACTGAAATCTGAATAATCTGAATAATATCAATTCCACCCACCTACCCTTCTGCTTCTGTTCTCAACCGTCTGGCTGTAATGTTTTATGTATCACTGTTGTCTTTTGTTTCGTTCCCTTTTTTGTTTCGCAGCAGACCTAAAGGAGGTTCAGCTGAGGAGAGGAAAGGAGTAGGAGAGGGCCGTGTAGTCGCTTTTCGTCCGGATGTGGCATATAACCTGTTGCATACACTGTTCTTCGGCCTCCTGGCTTTCAGCACTATGAGGTGAGCTCATGCACACGCACGTGTAATTGCAGGGTCATGTGCACGCAGATACCTGGATTCACACACATTCCCAATAGACACATTGGTTTAATTCACAGACAGGGATTCTTCAAATATACTTTTCCTCTTGACAGTTTGAGTGTGCTTGCTCGTGAGCAGATGCTGGAAAATAACCCACTTTAGCCTTGATCAGCCCTCGACACCAAGCACCATCTCACAGTACCTTAGTCTTTCAGTTAGTGACAACACTCGCAGCAGGAACAGAAAGAGTGGACACAGTTGGGCAACTAATAATTGATACTGTGAAACACACTGTATGGCTGACACCCCGATATTTCAAACCCGAAATGTGTCAACGGTCGTACTTATTTGCAATACACAGAGGAACACAAGAACACAATTGACTGCTTGCTAAGCTCCGTCCAGTCCTTGGTTGCTGTTGCTGCAAGATTGCACATACAGTATGTTTACAATGATAATAGTAGCACAGTGATATACAATTCTTAATATTTTTTTAGAAAGAATAGGTCCTTGATTTGTCGATAAGTAAAAGAAGACATAACATTGTTCATTGTTGTTATTTGGTTCTAACATCTGTTTGCCCGCTTAGCTTACAGAGTTGTTTTTATTTTCACACTGTATGTTTCACTGTTAACGTTACAAAAGAAAATGCTTTAGGATGAGAACTGGCAATGTATTGTAATATGTCGTCAATGAATGTAACACTATTATATGTAATGGTGGCTGGCGTGGAATGTAAATTTCATCAAAAACAGTAAAGACCAGGAAAGAGCTGCAAACATCTGTGTGGAAAGACCACAGAGTGAATGTGCTAGTCGTGAACTGGGCTTTTTTCATGAACTGGTAGTAGTTAGTTAATGATGTGCTCCTTGGCTTGGAAGTTAACACGTTGTGGTCAATTGTGGTTACAAAACTTTCTTTAAACACAATATATTTGGCTCTTAAAGGGTAATTTAGGTACTTTGCACATGGACCCTATTTTGCCATGCTTTTGTGTCTATGTGAATAATTGGGACAACATTTTTTGAAACTGGTCCAGTATTGAGCGAGCACGCTGCAGTCTGCAGCAGCGAAACAGGGCTACAACGGAATCCTTGCAGCCAATTGTGCCCCTTCAATGTACGTGCACTAAAATGCTTGTTTTTGCCGCTGACAGGCTCAGTGGGGCTCAGTTGGATTATGTTGCAGCCTTGTTTTGTGCTCACTAGGCTTCTTCTCTATTTTCATATTGTCTAATCACGGGTACTTAAGATTGGCCGATCTGAACGCGAAGGGGCGATGTCACGTTGCAGCATGCTAGTGAAAGGCCAGCATGGAAGAAATAGGCTTATTAGCTGTAAGAGAAACCACTAGAAACAACCCAGCGGTATTCTAATGTTAGCATAGCTATACATATTAGCTTGGCTCCTTACATGCTTGCTTATAACTTATTTGACAGCGTTGTGTTAAGAAAATAGATAGACTAACTTATCAGAATTCTCTTGAATTCATTAGTTTTTCTATATACACACGGCTCTGTTTCAGTGTGTTTGTGAGAGGGAGAGGGAGCGAGCAAGCAGAGGTGCTGAGCGAACCCATGCGCTGCGCACAGCTCCACGATTTATTATGATTTTACTCATATTAAATAGTATATAGTATGTGGCGGTGCGTTTTTATTGTGGCGTGTCGTGTCAGCATGAGCCTAGTGCTCACTTAATACAGGACCAATTTCAAAAAATTTTGTTGCAATTAGTCACATAGACACAAAAACATGAGAAAAATGGTCCAGCTTAACAAATACCAAACTTAGCCTTAAAGAGATATTGTACTTTAAATTTTATATTCTTCTCCTATTTTATGTTGCTTCTCTCTCTTTTAGTTTCCTGTTGGCACACCCAAACACGGTGGCCCTCTTCCTCTGGTTCACCTAACTGTATCATCCGTTGGCAGGTTCCCTCTGTGGAATAGCACCACTGCTGAGGCTCCAGTTATAAATACCACCACCTAAGCTTAACCATTGAACTTTCCTGCGGTCGGCTTTCATATCCAGCCTCCTCTTTTTAATTTCCGGAATGTTTTGGCTCTCTGAGGTGGCAGCTTTTACTGCTGCTGTGACATGACGGCTCTTGACAAATGTGCTGTTATTGGTCACACCAGAACTATGAACACCAAACAATATTGGCTGACTGGCCTCAACCTTAGCTGCCTCAATTTTCCACTCCAAATGACAAACCTTGTTAATCCCATGTGACCCCTCCACAATGGACCAATTTACTTTTGCTTATTGATTTATTTATTAAGTATATCACATTACAGTACCAGAGTACTATTCCTCGACTGCTACTACAACCATACAAGTTGTGGTATTCTCCTGTAGTAATCTGTGGATCATTTTACGTTGTTGAGACTTTCGGAAAGATGTTAACATTTTGAGTTGCATAAAACACCTTACTGCTTTTAGTTTGGGGCTAAACAAACTCAGACCTACACAGTGATGATAACTGGTAGATGATAGTAGCAAAAAACAAAAAGTCCAACATGCCATACTAAGTGGTATACAGTATTGCATTTGCACATAGCCTTATTAATAGCTCTGTACTGCCACACAACTTGACTAGTATGCCTTGTGGCCTGCACTTTTTCCTCATTTCACATCTATAATCTTATGGTTAGCACAGGAGAGCATAACAACTCTCCCAGACCTGACTCCCAACTTTAATCTGTAAATGCCAAGTGGTGGTCGTATAGCATCATCTGTACATTTTCAAGGTTGAGGGCAATTCAAGCTGGAAACACGGGCTGCCATGCTTGACATCCATGATTCATTGTTGTGAAAGTAAAATTGCCTTTAACTTTGGGCTCTTTGTGAGGACTGTCAAGAAAATCATGGAGATTACAATTGGAATCACTTTTCCCTGTATTAACAGAAACTTGCAATTATGCAGTCAAGAAGAAAAGGGGGATATTCTTGTATATGGTTTATTCATAGCAACATGGAGATGCAGAATTTCAAAGGTTTACATAAGTAGCTTAGTTTGAATATGATTTTGAGTGCATTATAGTCAGTAGCTGGGTTACTCTGTATATGAAAATGCTCCACATTGGGTACCCAAGGATGTGGGGGTACATTTAATACATATATTTTAATACATATAGTTCATGCAATATATTCATTTTACAGTCAGGAATTAAAGTACTGATTAAATGCACACAAAAGGGGAAAAAAACTGAAAGCTTTTAACACAGCAGAAGCCAGGTAGTGCAGAAACTGACTCATTTGATTTCAGCACTTTCTCTAAAATGCTGATGAAGAGCGAAAGGCCGAAAGTGCAGAGAACCATTCATTTCTGTCAGACAGCTCCTTTGCATGAAAAACGTATTGAGATTTATTTCTGTGAGGCTGCACTCCTTTATGCCTCCTCATCCTCTCTTCCATGGCTCCATCTCTGTACCTGTCAACAATTTTTCAGCTCATTTCATTCTCTCAGTCCTCACTCCTCTCCGCTGAATCTTTTTCTCATTTGTTTCGAACTCTCATGCATGACACTGAATTCAGCTTAACTACGCTGGAACCATTTCACTAAGTTGTCCACAAAACTGAAGGTTTGGTCGTCTTGTGTGAGTTTAATGTGCTTGAGGGATCATCCTGAAGTCCCACCAAACACACATAAACCACAGACATCATCACAGACACACCAGCAGTGAGTGGATATTTAACCAGGTAAAACAAAAACAAAATCTTTCTAACACCCCTTGATATTGCCTCTCTCTCCCACTCTGTACCCAGGATGAAGTATATATGGACTGGCCATATGTGTGCGGTCGCGGCCTATGGTGTGTGTGGGACAGAGCTGTGGATTTTGTTTCTCAGCACTCTCCGCTGCAACAGTAAAGTTCTGGTACGAGCTCACAGCAAATGCACTTCCAGCTCCAAACATCTGCCACACTGTTTTCTTTTTCTTGCTTTGAAATGAAAACTGTGACTTGACCTTGAAAACTACATTCACCATACCTCTATGAATCATCACCCACCTGCTGGCTAAATGCATTGTAAAGCTACAGATACAGGGTTTCAAAATATATTACCAGATCAGTATATCACACTACCGCATAAATAAAGAACTATTTTAACACGTATTCACACATCTACAGTATTACTCTTGCCCACTGGGAAAGGTTCAGTTCTACTACAGTTTTTGAGCAAGAGTTTGGCCTGGGGATTGGTTTGAGCAGCCTCCCAGTCAGAGACCAGCCTCTGTAAGCGGCATTACAGACAAATATGTTTTCAGTTTCCCTGGTTGATTGGAGGCATCTATTACTGAAAAAAACGTTGAATAATAAATAGGGCTGGTTATCATTTGAAATGTTTCAATACAAATTGTAATGTCTGAGTTTCGATATCAAGACACCTTTTCACAATAAAAACATGTTTTGCCATAACTCGCAGTCTAAAATAAGTAAACAGTACGGAGCATTCATTTAATGCCAAATTCTGATCTGTCTGACCTGTGACAGATCAGATCATTACTGACATTTTGGTGAGTACCCAGAACGTATTGAGGTTTGATACCCAGTTCTAGTGACAAGCAACATTATGTTTTTTTGTTTTCAATGAATAGCTGCTTTGACATGGTAGTGAAACATTATGCTGCCTACTGTCCAGTTGCATTTGAATCCACAGCCTCTACTCTGGACCGGTGATAATGCTAGTGAGGCCACTAGGTGTCAGTGTGGTCATAACGTGACAACAGCATGGATCAGATAAGAAATGATGCTCTGTCTGCCGGTTATCTCAGTGTTATCTCATTCTGTGCTTGTCTTCATTTTAAGCTATATCTCTGTCTGACTCTGACTTTCTCTGCCTCTGATACGATTATATTCTTTCATTTCATTATAGCTGTTTTCTTTCTCTCATTTTGCAGTTAAGGCTTGTCAGATATGCAGTTCCACTGGCAATGATCGGTTGCCTGTATTACAAGGTATGCCATTTTCTTGGGTCTTTATGTTCATCACTGTATTGACGGTCTCATTACGGAACGGTTTGTACAAACTGTGCAACGATGAGAAAATGTGGGAAACAGAAGTTGCAGAAGAAAATTATAACAAGCAATTTGATCATAACAGCATGCCGAAATGATTGCTTCCATTTTATTTATTTTCGAGTGTCTAAATGGAATGTACACTGTAATATTCCGTAATGAGATGGTATTTAAGATATATTAGTGATTTTGATACTTTACAGCCTGATACGATTGCTAACACAGGGGTTTCTACACCCTTGTCTTTGTCTGTTTCCCTCTAGTTCTGGCCTAAGCTAATGGAGGAATTATCAGAACTGAGGGAGTTTTATGATCCAGACACTGTGGAGCTCATGACCTGGATTAGGTACACGCATACACACACATACACACACATACACCGTGCTGACAAATCCAGAACAAACACTATATAGAAGCAAATCTGATTAGCTTGTTTCCGCAGATCAAGCTTCACTTTGCCTGATATCCTTTGATTAGTCTCTGTGTGTGCATGTGTGTATACATGTGCATGGGCACTTGTTTGCGGGGGAGTCTGGCGCATGAGTGATGAGAGCCGACGGGTCTCCATGAATAAGACTTTGGGGTTGCTGGAAAGGACCCAGCTGTTGGCAGAGCTCTAACCCACCTCGGGGTCTCTGTGGCCAAGCTTTTGATGAAGAGCATCACCATGATGGGATCAGAGCTGGATCTGTTGATTTTGAATGGCTACGTACTGTGGCTGCCGTGTGTGCTTCTGTGTTTGCACATCTGTGTGTGTCTGTCATTTTCTGGTCATTAGGTTGGATGTGGGGCGTTGGGCTTCCAGGCTTAGCAGTCTATAATGCATACCATGTAACTATGCAGCCACAGTGTCACCTGCAGTAACCCTGCCATATTTTCTCTGTTATACTCCATTCCGATCCGCACAGTGATGTGAATTTTACCTGAATATGGTGGCAGATCTGAATGGGTAAACGGGTGTCAGCAGAGCTGGTTTTACAATCCTCCCCCAGACTTTGGCTGGACATGGGTCAGATACTGCTTAGCATTGTTGAATAGGCCTTTCTATTAATGATGGAAATCTAATTCAACAAAAGTTCAACAATTGAACATCAGTGAGCAACCCAGAGAGACTGGCTGTGCAAGACACGCAAACTGAAGTGGACTAGTTTATCGAAAACACACCAAGTGCGTGCACTTCTGTGCCACAGGTGCACGTTCAGATTTCACTGTTTCCTCTAGGTTTTTTTTTAAGCTGCGGGGGCGGGCCAACAAGCCTTTTGGTTTATGGAAACTGTGGAAATGAGCTCATTCTACCAGGGGTATGGCTACCTCATTGGCCCCGTTCAGAGGTATTTCTATTAGTGCTGCTGTAAGCTTGGCATCTATACATATATTGGTTTTACCGCCTTGATGTGACAGCACTTACAAGTCTTAAGTGTGGGTTTATAGCAGTTGTGTATTAGCCGAAGTGGAGGGCATGTAGTATTGACCTTCCTGGGTCGAGGTGTTCAACAGCTGTTACAGATGTTTGTAATGTTGCTGATTGCTAATGTTTTTTACCAAAGCTTCTTAAGATTTGTTTGTGAAAAAAAAAAACAACCTCAAAGTGTAACTGTTTTATTCTTTATGTTGTTCTTGTCAGGAATTTAAAAAAAGGTTTTTGTAATTTAAAAAAAGGTTTTTGTAACTGGCCAAAACCCTCACTTAAAAGAAAATGCTAATTAAAAAGGCCAAATGTGCAAAATTAGAACCAGTTTAGAGTTTTGTCTTTCCCATTGATGATCACTGTAGTTCTCTTCTATACTGAATAAGTCATAATTCAAAGCTCATTATTTCCATCCTATCATCATCAGCATGATGACACTGAGTGGACCAGATGTGATTTTTAAGAAATGGCTAATTTTGGTCTAATCCTATTAGACAGATTGCTGAATGGCAAAGGGGGGGGACAGGGGAAAAGAGGTTGGGATTCTGAATGTATTTGTGTGTGTGACATGGGTTCCCTTCCCTCTGGAGCTAATCCCATTAGGCTCTAAGGATTAGGGGCTGCCTAGAATTACCTTGGTTGGGGCTGAGAGCAAGGAGGAGCGTTAAGCTTCTTGCTGCTGCGCTAATTACATTCCAGATGAAAGTGTTAAGATGGAGAAGGGTGTTCATGTTACTTTGTTTTCTCTTGCTGACTGAGGCCGAGGCTATTTAGATTTATATGGAAAGATCACAGGAGATTCTGAAACTGTGGCATAATGAGGGGCAGAACAGAGATAGATACATGCAGAAGAGAGTGTATTTCTGGGCCGGCTAGTGTATTTATGTAAAGCTGTCAGGGACTCATTGTTCCAGCTGCAGGGGATATGTGCACGTATGAATCATGTAAGACTAATAAAGGTTACAAATGTTCAGAAAAGGATTCAGTGTGACCTATTGTTAATATCAGAAGAAATGATGTTGGGGGATTTTTATATGGTTTATTGCACTTCTGTTGTTACACGGCTGAAATGTAGGATACAGATCCACTGAATGTTCTTTATTCTTATATCAAGACAGAATATCTAAAATCGGAATTCGAATTAGGTTTAAGAAACGAGAAAGGTGTTAGTTTAAAAGACTTAGAGATTTAGAGATGAGATTAGGATTAGATTAGAGGTAAGAAGGCCCTCCTACACCCTCATGAGCGTAGAAATGTGTACGTCACGACAGGCTGATGAGGGGATTGTCATTATTCCCAGGGCAATCATTCATGACCCTGGTTATTGACGGGTTTGAAGAACGAAGGTGTAGGTAACGTGATAACAGGTAGAGGATCACCTCTACTTTGCACAAACATAATTCACAAGTTTCCACTTGAACAGCGGCAGCTCCACAGCTCAGCTGTAGGCTGATACTCTGTTTAAATGGACAGTCAATAAATCAATAGCAATTCCTGGTCGTTCAACTGCCTCCAACTCTGAGTTTTATTTATGAGTTTTATTTATGAGTCAGCAGTTTTTAAAGTCACCAAAATCGCTTCTGTCTGACCCATGTGCTCTGCCTCTCTGCTTCTTCCTCATTCTGTATCTTCACTTATTTGGAATTTGCAATTGCACACTAATGTGGCAAAAACAGGATGGTGTCAGATCTCTGCTCCCTGACATATGAACTCAATGCTGGGTATGAAGCTTTCTAGGCAGCGCGAGTGTTACATGTGCAGCATAGAGTGGAGCAGCTTAAGCTCAGGCACATGTTTAATATAGCTAAACCGCTGCTTCTCAGACTATCGGGGCTCACGGATAACCACAGTCCATACTCAATACTGTCACTACACTGCACATTGCAGTGCGCTGCAGGCTGGAGGTGGAAAAGGGAAAGCTCACATGTCACGTTTCACAGTACAGATGAGAGTCAGGAGTGGGTTGTATTACATTTGGCATTTTGCAGTTGGAGAGTCACGATTGGAGGATATTTGTAAGATTTGTTTGGCTGATTCTTTGTGTTTATCTCTGCATTTGCACAGAACATTTTACTGTAATAGGGTTTTTTCCTGGCTCAAAGTGAGGTGGAGGTGGTACCATCCTGATCACGTGCACACACTGGCGCAAGCAGCCACTTTTTACAAGCCATATATTTTAGTTCTAATATTTATATGATTGAAGAAAATGACAATTATTGCATATTTTATTAAAAAGCTAAAGCATTAATTCAAATATAACAAGCTATTGTTTTCACATTTAGTTCACAGGGCTGCTCTTGCGGTGTAGCTGACGGAGTGTGTGTAGCTTTTCTTCCTCTGAAAGTTTTGGCAGCGTCTTTCCTGTTGCACTGTGCTGATTATGATACAGTGTCACTACATCAGCATAATGCCGCAATTGCATTTACAAATGATAGAAATCCACAAATCCCCTTGCGAGAAAATTGGGTTCACCATGAAGACACTCGCTGAGTTTTGTCAAGAGCTGAAAGCTGGGCCAAATTTGTTGGAGGCAGCCGTCTCGTAATACTCAATGCAGAAATATAAGCAGTCAGAGAATCAATCAATTTCTTCTCTCTTTCACTTCACTTGCGTTTATCATACATATTTCACAAAATTAAGAGGCCGTCTAATACCAGTATTATGTCAATCTGTGTTTTATTTTGTAGGGTTCCATTTTTTTCCTACCTTCCTCCTGTTGCGCACGTCCCCCCCCCCCTCCATCTCTTCTAGGTCGAGATATACAGTCTGTGGTCAAGAATTATGATGGCTGCAGTGAAAATTATTAATGAGAGCTGTGACAGCAGTTTGCTTCAAATTCAGGAGGCTGATCTAGCTACTCAGCATGGAGACCCATTCAGAGAAGGAACAGTCTCAAATGGAAAAGTCAGCACATTTCAGTTAAATACTGACTTTGTTTATCCCATGAGACCAAACAAGAAAATAGGTTGTTTGTCAGTGCCAAGACCATTCCAAAAATTACCCTTTTGAGCATTTTCTCTCTAGGCTGGTAAGGTTTAAACAACTAAAAGCACTCGGTCAACATTAGCAATATGGAGAATAAACACTGACAAAATGCTGTAAAAGGTTAGCAGACAATTCCAGAATATGAGTAATAGTTATAATAATATATACGAAAACTTCATCAAGGTATTTTTGTATATATTTGTCCATATTTTTATATATTTCTACTGCCACCTTCATACAGATGAGTTGAATGAAATTTAGTTTGTGGGGCTCACAGCATTAAAAGCAAAAAAAAAAAAGTAAGAGCCCAATACAGAGATGAATAGATAATCTACAGAGTTAAATGTGTACAATTTTATGGGAAATGTTGAAACCTGTCCACAGTGAGTTCTGCGAATATGTCATTCACCTCCAGTTTATTGGGGTGGAGGCAGAACTCTCAGAAAGGAAATCCGTGAAATCAAAAAGAATCAGTCTCTCTCTCCAGCTGGTTGGTAAAAGTTGGCAACCCTGTTAACATCATCTTCGTCGTGAAATGCACGTCCCCTGCCTCCAGTGTGCTTGCGTATGTGTGGGGAAGCCTATTCGGCTAACTAGCTGAAGCAAACTTTCTTAATAAACTGCAGCAGCCTGTTGTATGTAATCTGCATATGCAGAATTTAAAATGTTTCTGGTGTGGTCAGTCTCGTTTCTTCATTTCGTCTACATAAAGCTTAAAGCAACATTATTTAGTATTTTTATCTCAAAATGTGAAACAGCACACAGTGCAAGGTGCAAACAAGGCATTACATGTACAGCAGCATTATTCATAAAAGTAACAGTATTATTAAATTATTTACAACAAAGTATCAGATAAAAAGACATAAAAGCACAATGAAGTTTAAACATATCATAATTTGACTAAATGTCACGGGTGCAAGATGTGTTTAAAACTGGATACAGGAAAAAAACGAAAAAACAAAAACAAAAAACTGGATACAGGAATAAGCGACTCCAACTTCAACTTGAGCTATAAGAAGAATCAAAAAGTATATAATGTACAATGTGAGTTCTTTGAAAGAAGCTAGCTCAGTATTAATATGGATATCACGGCAGAGGCTACGAAGAGACCGAAGAAGATGTTGGAGGAAGAGAAAAAGAGAGAGTGAGCATGTAAGACACCAGACGAAAGTATTTATCCGACTGGCTTTCACTCGTTGGCGTGAGCTAAAAGAGCTGAGAGAATGCATGACAGAGGCTAAGCTGGCCTTCTTGTCGTTGGACTAGTAAGTAATAACTTATTAGCTGGCTTGCAATATCTTGTGTTGTTGCACTTGCTTGACGTTTGACTGTTAGCAAAGTTGTCAAAATCAGACAGAGGTTTCACAGACAGAGGTTTCACAGACAGAGGTTTAGCCACCAGATATAAATCTCGAGTTAATGTCACCCGGTCTCTTCTTGGTCACTCTGTCTTTTTCTCTTAGCTTCCTCCCTGGTCTCTTCGCCTCTTCGCCTCTGCCATTAGCTAACATTATGTCCGTAGAGGCTTGAGTTACGCTGCCCCATCTCCCAGCTCTGGCTCGACACCCACACCGCTCTCTACCAGCTGTTATTTTATGGTAAAAAAGTTACAGAGTTTTGCTCTGTCGCTCGCTGCCACATACCCCTAACTGCAGTGTGCAGATCTGGGCGGTGCTCAACGTGGGCGGGGTCAAACGTTTAACGCCGCTGACGTTGAGCACGGCCCCGGACTGCACGCTGCAGTCGGGGCTTCTTCTCGCTGCTGGCTGTAAATCTCTATGTTGATAAACTTACTAGATAAGACTCTGGCATCGGTAACATTACTGTAAGTGCTCTTGCGTCAGTTGCTGTTTAGCTTTGTTGGCTAGCTCGCGACCCAAGTTTCAAGCACCATCACGCTGCTGCAGGTGAAGAACGTGTTGTCGCACTTGCTTGATGTGTTAGCAAAGTTGGCTGCTTACTAGTTTTTGATCATAATGTAATCTTAGCAAATGCACATAAAGCTGTCCTTTTTTATGACAGCAGTGAATAACACAACCCCCCCACACACACACACACTTCTTACCCTTACATCTTACATAATGTTGCATTAAGCTCCTAACTCAGATGAGTGCCGTTGAAGATTTTAGTGCAGTGAAAAGAGGGCTCATCTCTCTCTCTCTCGCTTGTTTTGTAGATCTGTCTCATTGTGTCGGTCTGTCTGTCTGTGTAACTAAAACAAACTACTTTTTCCATTCTTAGGAAACATGTGCCACAATTCATCTTTATACCAATCCTTCAGTAAAAATTCATTTTCCTCTATGAAACTCACCACTTTTTACATCTTCTGCTCACGCTTTCTCTGGCTCACTTTCTCGCTCACTTAATTGTCTTCCTGTCATCCTGCTCCTTGTCGTAGTTTTAAATTGTCTAAATTAGCCGTGTTTGGCCTCATCCTTAAATGGGGAAAGTGCAGCTCTGTGTCTGTGATCTGTGTGTGTGTGTGTGTGTGTGTGTGTGTGTGTGTGTCTTCCTCTGCATTCTAACTCATCCAGACGCAGTTCAGAGGGAGAGAGAGAGATGTCCTTGATTGAACTACACACCTCTCATTCAAAAGTGTGATTTCAGTAGAAAATCTATATATCATATTTGTAAGAAAACACTCACAATCAGTTTCTCAATCTCACTATTTATTGGCCACTCAGTACCACATAACTGTGTGTAACTAAATAACTATAATAATCATCAATACAGTGGCTACGTAAGCATGTCACATTGCAGATGTTGCACGCCCGCACAGGTGCTTTCAGTTATTCTGACACAGTTTGAACCATGGCGAAGGGAAGTTTTATGTGAAAGAATTATGTGAGGTTACCAATACGCCGTGTACTGTCTGTCGATGTTTTTGTAAAATATTTTAATTTTAAATACATGTTTCATTCATTCAACCTTGTGCTTCATTCACTGGATACAGCAGCTTAGAAAATATATTTCTTGCATGATCTCTTCTCTTTAGTCTTCATCCGCCTGTAAAACAGAATTCAGAAACAATTCAAATAAGTGAAACACCTGTGTGCAGTCTTGCTGTGTAGGGTAGGCTTTAAGTTAAATGTGAATTGGTTATGTGTCTGTTGGACAACAGACGACTAACAAAGTATTGAAGAGGCCATAGAGTAGTTTCAGTCCTTTTGTGACTGCAGGTGTTCTGAAGGTAAAGGCCGACATGACTCTTCAAAGAGCCTTAGCAGTTGTTAGGACAAATCTCCATAGCCACATTATATGTAGCTGAGTGTATGCAGACAGTAGTGTTGAACAGTAAGTAAAGGTACTGTCCAATCTTTACTTGATGAACTTGCTCAGCCCAAATTGTCCTTACGTGCGTATACGGTTTATTCCAATACAAATCTGATGTCAGAGATGAAATCGGTGACACACTGACATAATATCTTGATGAAGCCAACTTTCTGTTCAGCTTATGTGGACCCACGGTCTAGCATAATATGACCTGAATTACATAAAATGTCATGAGTCAGATCTAGTGTCTCCCGCTTCAACATGGAATCCATCATGTGATACGACCCAAAGCATCTTTATGAAATCGTAAACATCCTGATAGCCTGCAGCTCCCATGTAGAGCTGAACACGAGTTGAGGTCATTGTGACCTTCTCTGTTAGTTAATTCAGAAAATACAGAAAATAACAATTTTTCTACCACAATACGAACAGGATTGTTCAGATGTTTTTCGTGCAAACAGTTTGAGACATTTTCCTCTGTATTACTAAGATGCTTTTTAAAGAGAGCCTTTTATACACATTTTCAGGTCAATAATTGTATATGCTTTAATCTTTAAAAAAACAGCGTTCTTTTTCATCGCAAATAATCATTGCTGCAGCACCTCTATTCACCCTCAGTCTAAAACGATTTGTTTTAGCATTTCTCTCTCTAAGTCCCCACCTTACTGTGGTATGATTGGGTAGTACTGGATGTGCCTTTGTGATCTGTGAGCACAATCGCCAACTTGGTTAATGATAGAGATCCTAGGGGCTCCCTTGCCTGTGACTTAGCCTATTGCCTTAATTTTCTAGTTGGTCTTTATTACAAAGTAGAAAGGATATGATTAGTTAATTTACCACTCACACACTAATATGTTAGGGGGTATATGTTAAGATAGCCTTTTCATTAGCCTTTGCTTGAACATTGTGTGTCTTATGGCCAATACATGATTAGCACAAAAGTCCAATAACAAAACATCACTCAGATCAGCAAGACCTCCCTTCCAGGTTTCTCCACCATTGCCCATGTGAGCAGAACTAGACAGTCCCTAGAGGGAATCCCTTCCAAGACGCCACCCAGAGACTCCAAGACGATTGGGTACTCTAACTTGCTGTTTGGTGCATAAGCTTGCACAACAGTCAGAGCCTTCCCCATAGCAACTTGCAGTTGCATAGAGGCGACCCTCTCATTGTCATTTGGGGAGAACTCCAACACAGTGACGCTCAGCTGGGGGCTCGTGGGCAACTCTAGAGAAGGAGAGAGTACAGAGATGTAGAGGTCGCAGAGGTGAGTCCGTCTATTGCTAGTTGGTACCGCTCCAGATCCCGTTCCTTCCCCGCCAGAAAGGTGACATTCCACATCCCTAGGACCAGGCTGCGGTGCCGGGAATCAGCACGCCAAACTTACTTCTCTCAAGTTGTTGATCCTCTGACTTTTCATCGAGCGCTAAAATGTATTTTTAGTTTGGGGTCGTGACCAAATACAGGGCACAAGGTTGTTTATTTATCATTATACAACACAAGGTTGTGTAAAAAAAAAAAAGAAAGTTTGATGTTAACAGTCAAAATATGGTAACATAACAATAAATAAATACATACTACAGTTATTTAGATACATACATGCATTCACGTTTACACCCAGAACAGTCCGCAGCGCTTGGAAAACGATCTGCCCTGCGAGTGCGTGATCCGGGATGTTGATGTTAGTTCTAATTAGCCATCGTTACATAATACGCTGTACCTTTCAGTTACAGGATGACTAGCTGTTGACATTTACATCGATATCAATCCACTATTTGTTTTATTCTAAGTCCTACATTGTCCCATCAGGCAAGAATCAGGTACTGGTATTTAGCATGTGTTTGAGTATGCTGCTAGCTTTGTGACCCAATCCTGTGTCAATATCTTATGTTTGGTCTTGTGGTGACGATATGAAACCTGAGTGTCTACATTAAGATCCAGTTTGGATAATAAGCAACACACAGGTTAACATGCACACACACACACACACCAAGTTGTCATATAACTTGCCAAAACCTCACAAGACTTGCCCTTGTATTTTTCTGTACAACAGTAACTGCTCATCTTTTGCCATCTCTTTGTAATTTAATGTGTCTTTGCGAAGAATGTTTTTCGTATTTGTCCTGATGTAGATAGCCGCTGTCCTTGAAGCCACGTCACTGAAAGAAACTTAAATGAAATTCTTTCAGTAAGCTCCAATTATTGGTATAAATGCGGAATGCTAAAGCATGGGGACTGAAAAACAAAGCTAGAAAATAAACTAAAACAAAATTCAGTCAAACTATGATGACTGGATGCACCTGCGTATACTCACCACACTTCTTCAAACATCTTTCTGTGATACCTTTATTTTTAATTATTTTTTCAGTTTTACACTTGCTCACAAAGCTTTGTTATGGTATATATGATCTATGTATTTAGAGCGGTGAATGATGTGTCCTTCTCTCTCCCTTCTCTCTCTGTTTGTCCGACAGCACAAAGACCCCTGAGCGGGCTGTATTTGCAGGCAGCATGCAGCTGCTGGCTGGTATCAAGCTGTGCACAGGCAGAGTTCTCACCAACCACCCCCATTACGAAGATAAAGACCTGCGGGAGAGAACCAGACAGGTACTGTAGGCTGCACTATACCGTCAGATAGACACAGGAGTGTGGAAACAAGCAGAGGGGCTGCAGGAAAATTTCAACTTTGAAGTCAGTAGATGGCAATTACAGTGTCAGCTATAAAAGTGAGTCGTGTTGATTAGAATGAATTAGCAACATGCCCTGATTTAAATGAATTAGCAGGATGTGGGGAGTTATTAGTTTGTGTTCAGACAGAGTGCAGGGCAAACTTTAGAGGCAGTGCGATGTAAGTCACCATTAGACGCAAATTCATTCGTGGTGGCGGGAATTGACTTGTCCCAGGGCTTCATGAGGGGAAGGGAGGGGGGGCGGTAGCTGAGGCAGTGGGAGGAGGTGGTGGGGTGTGGGGGTTTCAGCTCTCAGCCAGGTGTTCAGTTCATTTTAAATATAAAAACTTGACATCCAAAAACACTGATCACAAAAATGAAAGGCTAGAACAAACAGCTGATGAAATAACGCAAATTAGCTTTAAAATGATTTATCTGTTTTTGTTTCTGCTTCTGCGTTGTTTGCGTGTCTTCTTCACAATGAGCAGGAAGTAATGTGTGGGTCATCTCTTGGGTAACTGAGCCTATGTTTTGCCTCCCAGTGGGAAGTCAGCCATGCTGAGCTGCTGGCGAGGCCTGAGTTTAATGTGGAGCTCATTAATGATCCACGACAATGGTGCAGACCTTCTGGGCTCTTGAGTGTGTGTGTGTGTGTGTGGTATTGAGGAAAACAACTGAGAGAATGCATTTTTAAACATTTGTGAGAACTTTGTGGGATTAATTTGTGTGTTACTACAAACAATTAATTAGTGGACAAAGAACACAGTTGTTCATGTGGGTTATTTCTCTTTTCTGAATAAATTCACATACCCAGCTGTTGAAAAGTTTTATTTGTGTGTGCAAACTGTAGCACAAAGTTTGTGTGAAAAGAGTGTGTTTTCTCTAGAGCTGCACGATTTGGAGAAAAGGTCATATTGTGATTATTGTGGACAATATTGCGATTTGTGATTCGATTATAATGAAACAAATGGTATTGTGAGTCTACTTGCCTAATTATCAAGGAAAATACTGAGATTTTAAATTCTGTATTTCTCAACTTGAACAAAGTTAAACGATAAACCATATTTATAACAATAACTAGTAAAACAGATGTAAAACCGGTTTTATTTCTGTGGGTTGTTTTTATTCATTAAATGCTTGTGCAAGCAACAGGCTCTACATTGGTCTCTAATTTGTTAATGCTAAGTATTAACTTGTCAATAATCATATTGTTCAACATTTGAAAGTTTACTGTAGTACGTCTAACTATTTTTAAAGTCCCGCCTCATCCAGGCTGTGATTGGTCGGTTAACGAAAAGTGTCACTGACAAGCAAACGTTAAATGTTCAGTTCTTTCGTTGCTCCGGTGACGAGTCTGACAATGTTTTGACCGTTTAGCGGCGGGGAGGGGAGGGGGTTACGGTAGGTTGTTGTCTTAAAAGTTACACGCACACTTCTCATAAATCATTTTTCTGATTGCATTTTGGCCAATCCTTTTGTAGAGGCACAAGCGAGAGCGCGGTGTGGACGACAATGAGCAGACTGTAGCGCACACACAGAAGAGAGTGTCACACGCACTTTTCTGTTTTATTAAATCACACACTTTTTGCGGTTATGTAATTGCACATGACGACATCGCGATTGCGATTAGATTTACTGTGCAGCCCTAGTTTTGTCCAGAAAATCTAAGAAGGTAGTGTATTTGTGGGGTTTGAAGGATAACCTCCATATTATTCTCTATTTTTTTCCCTTCGTCGAAAAAACCCAAAACCAATCATGTGTTAGTAAAGAATTCTACTGGGCTAATGAGTTTTGTCTGTGCTGATCAGCAAAAGGTGTTCTTAGAAAAAACTTCTTAGAGTACGGGTTAAATAATTTGTCCATTTAAATCTTTGGTGTGTGAAGTTGGTCAAAAGTTTTATTTCATCTGTAACAAATAAAAGATGAACCATAACAGATTTTAGAAAGTTCTTCTATGTTTAACACTTTTGTTTTGTTCTCGCTCGGATTTAATTTCACTCATAATCACTTTCATTCTGATTTTGTCAGTAAACATGTTGTAATTTAATCTAAACCAACTTTCATCAAAACTGTAATTCAGAAAATAAATGTGCCTGGTAATTGAGTTCCAGGAGAGACGTTTTTCTCCTTCCAACAATATTGGTGTTAAATTATAAAGCCAGATGATTTGCAGGCAAAAAAAAAAAAAAAGCAATCACAAATCCACACAAACCTAAAAAAAAATCCACTTCCATTCTGTGTGTGTGTGTGTGAGAGCAGGTGTATCAGGTGTATGCTCGCCAGTCCCCGGAGGAAGTCTATGGCATCCTGAGGGCCATTGGAGCCGACTATGTGGTGCTAGAAAACAGCATCTGCTACGAGCGGAGGCACAGGCGAGGCTGCAGACTGCGGGACCTGCTCGACCTCGCCAACGGACATGTGGGTGGCATTTATTTAATGTGACTCATCACTCTGTCTGTCTGTGTGTGTGTGTGCGCCGTCCCCTCTGCCAACTTCTGTGACTGGGTGAAAGCTCTCAGCCTCCGCACAGATCAATAGTCTCACTTCTCATCTGCACATCACTGTCTCTTACTCTCTCCCTGTCATCCCCCCCCCCCCCCCCCCTCCATCTCTCCTTATTTTGACGGTGGACGCTCTGGCTATTTGGATTACCAGAGGCGAGACAAGCTTCAGTCTGGCTGTCTGGCTCAGAGTGGTGTACGACACATGAACCACAGTCCATGTTTTTGTTTGTGACTGCGTAAATGTGGCACAGCACACACATCTGACATAGACAGCTTTATTGAAGCCGTCTGTCTCTGGCTTTCCTTTGTTTTCTTTCATTCTTACTTTTTGTTTTCTTACGTGTTTGTCTTTCTTGTCTTTTCCTGTTTCTGTCCTATTTTTCTTTCTTTCAATATCAGGGCCATGTATCTGTGAAGTCTCAGTCTCTCTTTAGGACAACACAGCAGCTGGACTTGCCTTTAAGTTACCACTAACCGAGAATATTGCAGCATTTGTTTTGTATAATATCACCTTGAACAGTATATTTTGAATAATCCCTCTTTTACCTAACTGCACCATCTTATCTCACTAATTGAAGTACATAGTTGAAACCCATCACAATAATCTCCTGCCTCTTCAAACAACAGCTGGTCCTAATGATTTACATGAATGCATATAAAAAAAATGACTTTATTTATTTAACATAGTTGCATTTACAGTTTATTGTTGGGGTAGTAGCTGTATATTGAAATGTTGAGAATTAAACAGCTTCGGGTTTCTGAAAACAAAATCCGGACTGCTTTGTCAGGACTGCATGGGTGTGGATTGATCACATTTGATTGACAGTGTCCTAGAAACATAAGCAAACAACCCCAATCACATTTTGATTTTACCTAACTACGACGGGTGCCCAGAAATATGTGACATCACCTTTTATCCAACTCACACAAACAAACAGCGTCAAAAGAAAGGATTAAATTATTTACTAATCTCTCATGTAAAAGCTGTTGCAACTTTGGCAGAAAATAGTGTAGTCGTTTGGGAACCAATCAAGTTGACTGAGAAAATAGGTTTAAAACATTCCTCTAATATTGACGATGAACATCTTATTCATTTCTGAGTTCTTATTTATTTAGTTCTTTACATTTGATGTTATAAAATAATTTGCCACGTTTTAGGCATTCTTTCAAATTCAAAATGGCAATCAATGATTAAAAATTTAAAAAAACAAGTCATATTTGTGAAGAATCAAAATGACTTCGGCTCTCCTCCCCCCCAATGCTATAATGCGGTCCTGCAGAGTTTCTGCCAGACCCAGCTGGCAGGAGTGCAAAGTGAAATTAGAGCCTGTGAGAGGCTGTCGATCACCCTGTTGGTGGTGTTTGTTTACAGCAGTTATATCTCAAGGCCCCTTTAAGAATATAAATGATGATGACCTGCTCATTCTCTGATCCATCAGATCATGGACGGACCGGGAGAGAATGACCCAGACCTCGTTCCTGCCTCCCACCCTCGATTTTGCGAGGCCATCAAGACGGACACGGGGGGTTACACCGCTCTGTTTACCAGAACATTCCAGAACAAAACCTTTCACGTGTACCGGGTCAAGAAGAAACGCAAGAAAAGCGCCAAGAGCTCGTCAGAGCCCAGCGCGACTCGATAGAAGGGCTGCAAGAAAAAACCCGTCAGAGGCCAGAGGGGAGAGAGACGGAGGAGAAGAAGAGATAAAGGCTCTGAATCCTCGCTGTTCCTCTGTCTCCTCCCTGCACTGCGCCCAGCTGTGATCATGCCCATTATTTTTTTAACACGTGGCTCTGTGAACTGTGGCGTTAGAGCAGTGGGCCGGTTCAAGCTTGGGGCTGCATTGCTTTAGTTAGTGGAGTGTGGAATCACCTATAGGAGTCCTGCTTTGGGCTGTTCTCTCGCCACCCGCTCACCCTGCCCTTCTCCCAGCTCTCACTGGTGCAGATGAACAGAAACAACAGTTAGATCTCTGAGCAGTGTCTGGAACACCAAGAGCAACCGGTAATACTTCAGTTTTATTTCTATTAGTTAGTCATTTCTGCACCATTGTTCATGAAATGAACAAAATAATATTCAAAGAGTGTGAAATATTGTTTTCGCTTTCATACTGAGTAGGTTGGTTCAGTAGCACTCAGGTCAATAGCATTTATCAAATCGAGATCAAACACCAAATCTACTCATCAAATCTTTTAAAAGTCTTTATTAAAGCAGGGGTAGGCAATTTATTTTCAGAAGCAGTTTTTATTATATTATATATATGCCAACAGCAATCAATAAATTATATACTCTGTAAAGAAATCTCATATCTGTGGCTGTTGCAGGGCTGTAATAAGCACGGCCAACCAACCTGTGCGTAAATGTGTTTAGGGGAGTGGCTTTGGTGGGAGGCCTGATGGGAGGGGGTGGGATTTTTCAGTTGGACATTTTCAGAATCTACCTGTCTCTTGCTAGTTCTCCAAGCTGCCTACCCCAGCTTTAAATCTATTATTCAAGTTTAGCTTTTAACGCAAAAGTCATAAATAACTCAAAGATTGACACTGAAAAATTCAATACATTGTAATAAAAAAGCTTTTCTAGAGGAGCTCAGTAAGAAGCTCTATCATATTTACTATTGAGCTCCTCGTGCCAGGGGAGATTTGTTGAGCTAAACAGATCTAGGGATTTTAACTGACATCTTGTAGGAGCGTGATACATTTTTGGGAGGTGTGAATGAATCTATGGAAGAGCTCTAGTGAATTAAGACATTTTCTATTTTTGTCTTTTTCTTTTTTAGAAAAAAAAAGATAAAGAAAAACTCTTTCTTACTTTGACAAAACAGTTCCAACTCAAGGTGCATTTAACCAGCCTTTTCCGTAGCTTTCAGCTGCATTAGAGGACGGCTCATTTGTCAGTTGGAGAGGTCAAAGGTCGTTGCTATTGGTCCAAGGTGCAAATCTGTGGCTCAAAGTTTGCCAGAGTCGAAGTTGAAAAATTCACGCGGATTAACTTCACCCCTGCGAGCTAATCCAGAGATCATGGTGATTCCACTGAAATAAACTGAATGCACCCTGACATCTCTGGTGAGCGGGCCTTCATCATCTCACCCGCAGCATTTTTAGGACTTCTAGTTTGTGTTCATTTAAAAAAAGCGAGCTCACTCTTGACCTTGGACATAGTAGTGTGACTACACAATCCCAAATCGAGTTCCACCTTCTAGCTTTTTGCGGAGCTTTCAGCTATATCACACAGTCTTCTAAAAGCGCTGTGGAGGAAACGGCTCCATCTCCATCAGGACTGTGCAAACTACGTCCACCGAGTTGGGATTGTGTTGTTAAACTGCTATTTCCACAGTCACCAATAAACTTGGGATTTGGCCTTTTTTCAGAAAGCACATTTCTTGTCTAAAACTTGACTGTGTGGTAGTGTCTTGTGTGTTCTTGAGTATATATTTAGTCACAGTAGAAGGAAGGTTGCACAGCTGTGGGATTTGTGGGGGAAAGCCACACTGAATAACTTTGACCGTTAGCTTGACTCCGATCCGATGGCACTTTTTTAATTTTTTTTTTATCCAGTCACATTTGGCTCCGCAGTGACAGATGTTATCAATTACCCCTGAAAAGAAAAAATAATAGAATAATTTTGTTAGTGTCGATTCCCGCCTGGTGGGAACATGTTCCATCGGTGCTTAAATGTGTTTTTGCTGTAAAACTGAGGTCAAAGCTGGTACCAAGTGATATTTGTGGCGGTGTTGTTGTGTTTGCTGTCGGCTCTGTGATTCTCATCATCAGCAGACTCAACCTTTTCACTCTCTCTTCTCGCTTTCTCTCTCTCTCTCACACACACACACACACACACAGCCGCGAACAGACATGAATAATGTAAGTGGCGAGGAAATTGCAGCAGGCTGACAACGACGCTGATTCCCCGCCGCAATCCAAAATAGTTTGTTAGAGAGGAGAGAGAGAGGGGGGCAACGCTTGCATATCAAACTGAGGCTTTGTGGTTAGAAAAGAAAGTGGGGAGGACAGAAAAGGCTCTTATTTAAACCGCAGCGGAGGAGAAATGAGAGCGCATCAAAACATGGATCTGAACCCCTTCCTCGTTTGCTTTTTTTTTTTTTTTTCTCTCGAACCAAAAAGGAAAGCAGAGGAAAAGAGGTGATTGAAAGGTTGGAGGCTAGCTGTGTCGGTAATTATGGGTTGGCCAGTCAAGAGTTGCCTGTTGCCAATGAGCTGTCATGTAGGTACGACACACACACACACACACACACACACACACTCACACACGTTTCCCTCCCTCCCCTGGTCTCAGTCTGCCTATATCTTGTACACTTGTTAATAAGGGCCGCTGTCTTTGATAATCCACACACTCGCGGATGCATGAACACTCCTGCTCACAGTTGTTGTGGGGCTTTTGAAAACGTGTTGTTCGTTAAGCGCACAGCCTCATTGTAATGCATACCAATCGCATCAGTGTGAAACAGCACCACTTGTCCCTCCCCACCTCTTCCCGCCTTCATATTGGATGTTTAATTTAGGAGATGTCTGATTGCTTTATTTGAGAGCGAAGTGATTCCATTATCTTTGCCTAATAAGAGTGTACTAATGTAATATATATTTTTTTCAGCATTCTTCATTTCCATACATATTGGGATTAGTAGTTCATTCAGAGTTGCGATGTCTGATGTCTTTGGTTTTCTTAATGAAAAGGAGATGAGGAAAGCCATTAAGGTGTACAGGAAGCAGCTCAACACTCCATTTAGGCTAATTTTTTTTAAGAACTAGTTGCTGAAACAAACATGGCCACTATTTCACAAATTCACGTTTGTGCTTGTTAAATGAATAGTTTGAGTAGAGAGAGAGGAAATAAATAGAGTAATTCCTTTGCCATAAACCAGACTAAAGGCCACATTCACACCTGTATCTGTATTTTTCAGAATAAAACAATTCTTTAGAAATCTGTGATAATAATACAGATTTCTTTGATCTTGCCACTGTATGGCCAAATGTATTTGGGCAGACTCTTATTACACCCATATGGATTAAAGGATCCCCTTAGTCAAGCTTTTGACACAGTTAAATGTTCCTTATCCGCACATTGACTTTGCTTATTTGCTATATGTGATTTATTGATAATGGGTGTAAATGTGCTGCTGAACAGCGTCCACTATTGTGTACTATTCGACCCCATTTAACCCCAGGGGCATTAGTGAGGTCGGACACTGATGAGGCCTGGTTCTCAGATGCCCTTCAGATTCATCCCATCATGTGAAAAAGGGTGTAGTCCGGAAGTATGCATATGTGCAGACACACGAGATGGGACACAATCAGATGCAACCTTAAACTTGTCCGTGTAGTCTTGGTTAGTGTTTGGGGGCGTGGGTAAAAATAAACCTAGATTTTAGAGCTCATTTCACTGTAAGATCATTTGTATTCATGATGAACTGCAGTTATGATGCACCTGCCAGTCTCAGACAAACCACCTGACAAGCATCTCTCTGGAAGCATCCAAACAGATGATCCCACTGAGCCAGTGCCATGTAAATACATTAAAAGTGTTTCTGAATGTGAAATTTCCACGCGGCGTACAAAGGTCTAAATAATGTGTGTGATGAGGGAGCACACATTGGTACTTCAGAAATGATCGACAGGCCTTTTCCTATAAAGGATGTTCCCGGCACATGCTCGGCCAGCCTGTGCACCACTCTTGATTGGTCCCTGAGGTTAATGCAGGGAGCTGATCCTGCTCCTTTTAAGGCTACATATTTGCTGAAGAGCAGCTTGTGACCGTGAACATCATCACTTCAGCACAAGTTCCGTTAATGTACAATTTGACCATCAAGAACACCTGTCAGTGGTTGAAACCATGTACTTCTGCATTTATTTGAAAAGGGGATACTGTGTTATGCGAGTGCCTTTGGTGATTTTCTCCATTTTGCTCTGCTATTTCTTTTTTCCAAGAACACCTTGTACAACAGAGATTTCTACTGCAGGACATTTTTCATATCAGAAATCTTTACTTTGCAATTCAAACTGTTCTCTTAGTACATTATTGGTGTATGTGAGATACCTGATTCGAGTTGAAATATGTTCCAATGCCAGTGTTAGCTATTAGACACATCCTTGTTCAGTGGCAGTATGATCAATAAAAGTCATTTCTTTTCCCAACAATGTCATTTCTCTTCACTCTTTAGTTACTTTTTATCTGATGTAGTCACGATTCAGCACAGTCACTGGTGCAAATAAATGAATTTATTGAGAAAAGAAGTTCAAAGCAAATACAAAACACTTACATAACTGTTCAAAGGTCATCACCATCATGATGATAAAAAAGATATGTTCCGTTAGATTTTTTTTTTCCTCAGAAGCTGCACATTTTAAATCGATGGCGCTTTTCTCGACAAAAAGCAATAACTGTAATTAATCTATCTCTGTATTTACAAATGAGGTAAAAACAATAACTTTGTTCACAACATGTTTGCACCCAGAACACAACATTTAAGAAGCTGTTATATGGTACAAATGAATGGTGGTGGGAAGTGAGTTGCTGGTCTTTACAGCTGCAGAGAGAGAAGTGAAGCATGTCTTCATCCCTCACCACTGTGCGTGGCTCAGACTCGGCCCGTCTCTATACACTGGAATAAAAAACAAGCATCCCTCTCTAGAAAATCCCCACTGTCTATAGAAAAAAGCCTGTGTCTTAATTTCAGGCATCATCCCACAGCATACTGCACCCTCACCTGACCGCCAAGTCTCTTAGTTTTAAAAGCCGCATTGTTGCCTCTGCTTTTCAGAAAATAGCATGTTTCTGGAAAGCTGCGAATTTGGGAATCGACTCCTCTGTCTTTTTTGAAAGTACCCGCAATCCTTTGGTTTTTTTCCAGCATGACAGCAAGCCATCAGCTCCTATTAGGATTAGTGGTCTGACGCGTTTTCACACACACTCCTACCCTAACTGCTCTCTGCCGACAGGCTCGGCTCTGCCAGCGTGAAGACGGATAAAAAGAGCGCGATGAGAGCGCTGCTGCTCCTTCCAGCAGAATACACCGCCTGAGATGCCAGGTGAAGGCAGGTTGGCTTTTTTGGAGGACTGCAGGGAGGAGGGGTGGGGACTTACGACTTTTGTATCTATGCCATTTGCGGTGCCACTGTTTCTGCAGAAAGCCATTGCTCCCAGCATATCCCACCTTCCCCCTCTCTACAGCTCCCTACAGAGCTACTGAGCTCCATGGTGGCACATTTCACCGCTGAGGCAGGCACTTGATAAGATGGTTCCTCTCTGCCTGTCTTCCTCATTTGCTCTGTGATTCAGCCCTCTACCCTGTAATCATCTCTCTTATCAACGGTGAAAAGAACAGGTCCTTTTCAGACACTGTACTCCTCTCCCCCTTCGCTGCTTTATTAATGTTCTTTGCCTTTTTGTTCTTTTTAGACAAATTGTTCTCACTGGTTCCACAACAGCAGGGAGGGTTTTTTTTGCTGTTTTTTTTTTTTGTACAGTTGAGAGGAGGAAAAAAAGATCCATCAACCTGATGTGACAAGAAAGCCAAATAAAAGGAACGCTTGCCACTGTGCTGACAATTCACAGCTAGGATAAAAGCTGCAGAGTTATTATTTTCTATCAGTCCATTTTCCCACAGTCACAATTATTGCACCGTTTCAGCCAACAGTAATTTAGCAAGGGACAATAGATAAATGTATGTGTGAATTGCGCATATGGCACAGGCATCACAGCTCGGAAATATATGAATAATTATTATAATATATATATATAATATATCTCCTTCATCCTCCTCCTCCGCCTCTTTCCATTTGTATTTATCGAGTAGTCACCTTGGAAAGCTGTTTGACATAGTTTGTATTCTACCGAGCAATTGTCTGTTGAAATAGTCTCTCGCAGACGCCACATTTGGTATGCCTGAGGAAGAGCGTACGCAGAGCAGAGCAACAGAGCAACAGAGCAAGTGTTTCCTCCTTCCCGCAGTCCGCACGTCCGCTCCCATTTCTTTGTTACAAAGCTGTTTGAATTTTTGTGCACCCTCCCTCGGGTAAGGAGGACTGAGCGGCGGAGGAGCACAAATGAGAATAGGAAATCACAAGACGAGGGCGCAGTAGTAAGTAGAAAGCTTGATGTCTTACAACCCACGGAGCGTTGAAACTTGAAACACTCAACCAATACAGAATTACTCAACCCAGCGAAACACACATTACCAGAAGAAAATATAAATCTCACCCCACATCCCAGTGATGGTCAAAGCACTTTTTTTTTCTCATACAAACATTGACAAAAGCTGTGTACAGCCAGGCAGCGAGAACGCAACGTGTCCACTATATACTGAAAATCCAGACTCTGTTTTATATGGGCTACTCAGGATGATCCCACTCATCTTCACTGTCTTGTCAGGTAAAAGCACAGAGTGGGATTTATGTAAGAGTGCTGTGTTTATTTACAACAATTTAATTCAGCAGCGAGGTGCTAAAAACACATTTTATGTGGCACTGATTTGCTCAGACATAAATAAAATACCTAGCCCAAACATTTTCATTTCACGTTTTAGGCCTTCGGCTGAAACTCACCCAGAGTAGCTCACAACGAGTGCAAAAAAATAGAAGAAATTTTGGGTTTTACACGCTGTGGCTGAAACTGATTTGTATAACAGTGAAGCTAAGCTCCATCATGATGAGTAGCCCCGGGTAGAGAATGACGTTCTGAAGCCTTTAACCTGACTGGCAGGTTCGATAACATCTGCTCCGGCAAAATTGTCATCCAAGGTAGAGGGAGCGCAGAGTGACAGGCTCTTTTCACAGGGACACTTTCATCTGTCTGTTAGGCCACAATGTTGTTTGACGGCGCTCATCATCCAGTACATACAGCTCCTTCTATGTCAGTCGTGACGGTTGTGCAGCGAGTGTCTCTGCCAGTCAGCGTGTTGCAGTTTTCCCACCTCCGGTCGCCGCTAAGCGTCTGCTAATAGATAGTTTCAGGGCGGCCCTTTATCAGGGTCCTATCAGTTTGTTCTGTGTGCGTCTGGGCTCAGAGGTCGCTGGCTTCTGCTCGCTCATATAGCGCCCTCAGCTTCTCAAAGCGAGGCCCCCACTCCCCGAGCGTCTCCTCCCTCCCCCCCTCCCTTCCCCCGTCTCCACTGCTGCACCCGTCCAGCCCTGAAGAGCTGAAGGAGCTGAGGGAGCCGGCGGGCGAGCCCCCTCCCTCGGTGGAAAAGACCTGCAGGGAGTCGAAAGGCCCAGTGTCCGGATGCTGGTCAGCGTCGCGGATAATCTCACACAGGTAGCGGGCCAGGTCCTGGCTGGAGAAGGACAGGGAGCGGCGTGCCAGCTGGGAGGGGCGGGCCTGGCCCTGGGCTGGGAGTCTGGTGGGAGGGACGTCCCTACGGAAGCTTGTAGTGGTGGTGGCAGTGGAGGTGGTGGAAGCTGCAGAGGGAGGCAGGGTGGTGGAGCTGGCTGTCCGGCTGAGGGGTTCCAGCGGCTGTGCAGAGGCCGGGGCGGGGGGCGCCTGGTGGAGGAGATGATGGTGGTGGTGGGGAGGAGGAGGAGGGTGGTGCAGGGCTCTGGAGCGGCAGTACTGGACCGACTGGGCTGGGCTCGGCTGGAGGGACTTCTGCAGCTCCGCCATGTCGTAGGCATTCTGGAAATGCATGCAAAAGCAGAGAAAAACTCCCAGTTAGCACAGAAGCTGTAAAAAGGAAAGAAAGAGCAAACAGAGTGAAAGACTGAATGTTTAGGGGAGAGAGGTGAGGCAGGAAAAATGAAATGTGACAGAGAGAGAGTAGAAAAATGAAAAGAGAGCAGAAAAACAATCAGCTCTCCCCATTACGTTTCCTGTGAATGTTCCACCTATTTAAGTTTCCAATCTATCTCCATTTACTGTCTCAGTGAAGTCACCGTAATTCTGGATGTCTGTGCGTGTGTGTTTGTGTTTGTCTGTGTGTGTGTGTGTGTGTGTGTGAGACCAGGAACATAAAAAATAGCGGAGGTGATTCAGAAAGGGGATGAAGGGCGTCTCTCTATACATCTCTTATGCGCACTGCTGCAATGGGGTTTAGGAGCCTCCAATACTTTCACATATACTTTAACAGCCTTCAACATCACTTCACTGCCAATGTGATTCCACCAAAACTGTAAACACGGCAGCAGAGATGAAAAAAACGGAGGGATGTAGGAGGAGGAGGAGGAGGAGGAGGAGGAGGGTGAGGAGGAGGAAAAGATATGCACGGAGGAGGTGTAGGTCGCTTTGCAAAACTGATTATGTGATGAGTGGAAAGTGCTGTTTTTATTCCTCTAGAGAGCTTTCAAACAAGACTCTCGAGAATTAACTGCAGCATCTGCTCTGCTATAGAAGATCAGGACTGTGTATGTGTGTGTGTGTGTGGTTTATGTTTGACTGCAGGTGATTAACACTACGAAGGACAAGACCTTCAGGGTTTTTGGATACTGACAAGGTGTGTGTGTGTGTGTGTGTGTGTGTTAGCAACGTAGTGGTCACATGTGTTTGTTTCGATCAAAGCTGTGATATTATGCAAGCTCTTAAGTGCTGTTGAGTGCTTGTGGGTTACAGTGGCTGTTGGAGAGAAGAGATAAGGATTTCGCGTGGGTCTAATTAAAACGCTAGAACTCGCACGTGCGCGCGCACACACACAAACAGAGTGGGGATTCTATTCCAAATTGAATTGACTGAAACAACTATAAAGCTGCCACCGTGCAGCCACTGCTGTGTATTTTCAAAGTAAAAAAATTATTCAGTTGAAACATTTCACCTTCATGCAAGTAGAAGAAAGTTGTTAATGTCACATTACACAGCATATACTTGCTTGTAAGTTTATGAATGTTACTGTGCTTCTGTGTGAAGGCGAGTGTATCTTTGTTAGCTTTATCACAAGGGTGCGCGTGTCTGAGTGATGTACCTGGTCCTCCTCCCCGCCTCCCTCCTCGTCATAGTTGAGGACGTTCTCTCGGATGTCCTCCCAGCCGTCGTGGTGGGCTGAGACGTGGTAAACGCCCTCCTTCAGCCCTTTGTAGCTCCTCCAGCGGGTGTACAGGAAAATTCCCAACAGCAGCACTGGAGTTAAGACAGACAGCAAAGGAGGTTCAACAAATTGAATGATTGCAAATCCTTCAACAAATTAAGGTATGGCCCCAGAGAGAGGTGCTGTTCG